AGACCTTTTGCAGTAAGTTCGAACCTCTTACAAGGACAAGATCGAACAATCTTACCCGTCGTAAGGCAGAGACGAATCATGCTTCGTGAGTGCTCCCTGCACCCAAAGAAGATGGGCTTACTCTGAAGCCTACGCGAGGTGCATGCTGCCGCGGAACGCTCATTGACCTCTCCGTTGACCAATGGGTATCGCCAAATTCGACGATTCAGCCGATTTAGTCCATCAGCTGGGAGGAGCTGAGGCTTCGCTGCAAGCGCAGCGTTTGGGCCGTCTGTTCAGAACAACACACGAAGCTCACATCTCGATCATCGATTGGCAAATCCTGGACGTCTTACTTTCCCCAAGTTGATCACCGACGTCTTTACCGATTCCGCTCAGGTCGGTTCCGTCGCAAAACCGTCCTTGCCTGGTCTTTTAGACTGGATAGCCGTAGAGAGCACTTATTTGATTTTCATGGTTTTTGGCGTTCCCGTCTGAGAAGATTTTCATCGGCGCCTAGTCAAATCCAGTCTTGATTGCGTCTTTCGGAAGTTAGCCTACTCCTATTCCCCTCACGCCGGACTCGGGACTTCTGGGCAGCGATGCTTCGCAATCACGCTGTCATAACATAAATATCCAGTGAGGTTAGCGAAGGCTCTACTTGACCAACAGTGTGAATATCTGGTAGCCGGTATGCACCTGTGATGCAGGATAGTAACCAGGCCAATCGAAGTCGCTCCTGAATCAATCGCTTTTGCCTAGTACGGAGCTTCAAGGTCCTTTTGACGTGGCAGAGATTGGAGAATGTTCTGAGTTGGTAACAACTCAACCGTGACCGCTTCATATTGAAGCCGCAGCTTACTGCTTTTGGACAATATTGTGCTGAGCTGACTCAATCATGATCCTGGCGGTCACCGTATGCCGTCCTCTCCCGACGGGGCTAAGGAGAGATCAGGCGTTACCTGACGCCACGATTATCTTTTGCACACTCTCTCACCAGTACGAGTTATTGGTTTTCTGTCCGTCTGGTTGGCGGTCGTTACTTGTCACTTTGCTAACTTTGCTGTCGGCTGAGCTGACGGATTCGTTGCCTCCCGTTGCCCATGAAGGTACACAGCAGAAGCTTCATTCATTTTGTTCCGCGTTTGACAGTGCGCCATGTGAACTCCCCACGTGACGTTTATGGATGTCCTCTCCAAGGTTTCGCACATCGGCAGTTTTCAACCAGTACGTGACCACACAGGAGCCGAAGGTTCAAAAGCCAAAGAACGCGAATGGTCGAATCTGAGACGGCGACCCCGTTTGCTGCGCTGTGATTCGAAGCCGTAGCAAAATACTTCACAGCACCCTTGTTGAAAGAATCTGAGAGGACCTTCCACGGCCCACTTTCGATAAATCCTCGTTCCCCTTCGATTCTAAACTTGCTCGGGACAGGCGTCATGGCGTCGCCCCCCTTCGTAGTGTTTACGAATCCCCCCTCAGATACTTACACACTTTGCGTCGCGAAGCCTTTCGGGTCGCTTTGTTCAACCTTCACGCGACAAATTTGGTTACGTTGCTCTTCCTTTTTGTTCTCTGTGGTCAACAGATCATTTTTTAAAGCAAGGGCCACTGACCAGGTGACACTTGTGTTACGCTTCCCACTAATCACAGTGGCTCGGTCGGTTTTGAATGATGTGCATGATCGGGGGTAGGAACGCAAAATCGTGACCTAATCAGACACTGAGCATGAAACGGCCCTGTCGTCACGAAGTAATCAGACATTACTTAAGCCCTGCTCTACCTGTAACCAGACAGACGGGATACCATAAGCGTGCTTTCAATTGTTTTAGATGCGCCGCTCTCTTTCACATCGATGGACCTCGCGCGTTTGCAGTCTCTGAACCTCCATCAACTAAACCAAGGGTTAGCGAACTTACAACATATATAATCGCAGCAGATCTCATTAGAAACCCCGCTGAAGGCAGTGACGAGCGCTTTGATTTTGAGTCCTGCTTGCCACTCAACTCCAGGGTTTTCGTGGACCGAGCTCTGACGCCTTCTTGGTTGTTGAGATCATCTCTCAGATTGCGGAAACTCCTTGCCCGCTGAATACTCTCCGCTGAATCTCCTCTGATATTCTCCCTGTCTGGCTTTAATTGCTTTTATATTCGTGTGGTCCTGTCAAGCAGGATCCATATCCCGTGCACAATTGAATGTTTGCTTTCTCTGTCAAGGGTCATTCGGAGGACTTTCAAGAGGGATCCGTCCTTCCGTGTTGGACACTGTCCTCTTCTCGTACTCCTCACTGCGTGGAGTGTCTGTGGGTCCCTCGGTTCACCGTTCACGAGGACTTTTTGTTTGACTGGCTGGAGCAGCGATTCGTGCGGGCAGTGATGAGCATGTTTAAGTTTGCCCTCTGAGGCTCTCATGTCTCATCAGGTGTCTCGTGGCAACTCTCTGACGCCGCTCTATTTTATTGGCAGCAACTAGCTGCTTGTGAGAATTAATTTTTCAATTGCTGTTGAGTGCAGCCTTGCATGAGCATCGCGTTCTTCCGCTGTCTTTGTCTTGAGAATTTTGAGGTGATTTCTCCGTTGAGGTTAGATCCAGACTTATGTTGCAGAGGGGCATCGGGCTTCTAAAATTTTGCACACGTCACGCACACTGAAGCGTGAGATGCTGTATTACTGCTGTTCAATGACGGAACGCAATCAACGGTTACAAATACAAGGTTAATCCCGTTACACATGCAGACCATCAAGCATGCTTTGCGCTTCTGTATGCGCTCCAGCTGCAACTACGTGTAGTCCCCGGAGGGACTCCGGCGCAAAGCGAGGGTTGCGCTTCAAAGCGGCAATCATTCTTAGCATGCCTCGATCCCGCCTCGACATAGCTCCGATCAGTTGACTTCGAAGCAGGAGGATGTGTCTGATGTATCTGCCACCTCATTGTGTTATGATAACTGGCCGGCTGGTGCACCTTCATCGGACCTAGGTATCAGAGAACGAGGAAGCAATCTGCATATCGTCGGAGGGCCGGTTCATCAGAACGCTGGTCAAACGACTCTGTTAAGAGAGGCTGTCAGTTCCAACGAGAACTCCTTTTTGCTCGGGGTGCCTCTGACACAATCGATTCCTTCAATCATACACGCTGTTAGTCTTTCCAATTGCAGGCGGGTACCTTTGTCGAAGTCTCCGCCCCGGACCCGCGGGCAGCATCTGCATGATCTTCGACGGGCCATTGAATATCAGCTAGTCACCTAGCGCACAAGTGGGGTTTGGAGGCTCTCCTCTGGGTTGCAGTCGTTCCAAAAGCTTTGGCGTCATGTTTGTTGTTGAGTGGCCGCCTGGGCGCGGGTTTCGAACAAGAATTAGAAGCGAGCTTGAAAGCAGCTGCAGCGAAGGGCAGGAAGATTGCTCGGGACTGACTGAGGTAGCACAGAATTAAACAAGCAGCTTCATATGTACGCAATAGGAGGGGATAACATGGAGGCGCTCGCCGTTGATAGGTAGTTCCAAGCTTCTTGCAGCAGCTGCCTTTTTGAAAGTCTTCAGATGTACGGTACAACGGGTGCCCCGCTTTTATGCGAGAATGCATTCACTATCTGAGAAGTGTGCGCACGCTGGCCGGCATCATGCTGAAAAGGCTCAATCATAATAGCTAGAATACGTGCACAAGAAAAAAGGGGTCGGATGCACCGGCGCGCAGATTCTGTGCGACTTGATGCGGCCTGCGTCTTTCCAGTAACTTGGATGAGGATATAATGCAGTCCCTCAATAACACTGCGCATGCAGATATATCTGATTGCATCAAAGGGTCGAATCTATTGTCATGTGATAAAACGCCCTTAAAGCGCGCTGGCAAGAAGCAACCTTTAGTGGGCCTCAGGACGGCGCTTACAACTGGCTTCGTGCTGACTTAAACTGCATGCGGTGATGTCGTTTTCATCTCATGGGCTGTATCCACGTGCAGTGACGCGCCAGCTTCAACGTGCTTGATACATCGTGAAAGGCGCTGTACATAAATACTCACATGGCACATGTACATGCTCATGCATTCTTTTCCATTCTGTATAAGGTCACAGTCATGGTGGCGCATGCGGATCGAGATTCAAATTCATGTGCAATTTTGCACGTCACTGCTGCAGTACTGCAGAACAACTTCTGCTGGACACATAATCCTTAGTAAACCGCGGCCCCACATATTGGCTGCAGCGGCTCGATTGGCGAGCCTCGGAGAGTCGCCCATGATGGTGCGATCTACGGGCATATATGCACGTCATGGTGCAAGTTGAAAATGCTCAAAATCAGGGAAAAGTAAATAGTTGATAGCTTCAGATGATGGCATCTGACAGTGCAGGTCTAGGCTAGCCTCTCCTTTATGCCAACTGCATCCTTCCAGAATGTCCTCCTGACTAAACTGACAATTCTTAACTGGTTGGTCCGCTTTTGCCCTCAAATCTGGTGAAAGCAAAGCGATCGGGCCTTGTGCCAGAGGGTTGTATTTGGTGGCTTTACAAGGCGCAGAGAGTTCGAGACATTAAGTTTGTGTGCCCAGGTGCATCAGACCGCCACATGCAATGCTTAGCATATGTCTGGACCAAAAGCAGGTAGATCTGACTTGAGATGCAGAAAAAGGACAGCATGAAGTTGAAATGGCAATTGTAGCTTGAAGGAGCAAAGCGCATGCGTTTTGGGATCTGCTGGTCAGAAAGTCCTGACGGCTCCCAAAAAGGTGAACCGGCTTCTAGTGCTGCGCCCTACACACTTGAGGTTGAAAATGCATTCTTTCCCTTACAATCTTCCTACTTTAGGGCAACCTACAGTAAGTTCTCAGACGATGGCGCACGCCAGATGCCAAAAACGAGAAACTGATTTGACCATGCTAAATGCGTACTCAAACACCCTCAATGTTTTAGGGCTTTGGCTATAGAATCTGCTTTTATCTTCCGTCGACCGCACGTCTTCCGGACTAGGTACGCAGCCAGCGTGTCGAGACCGCTACTGTCGCCACAGCGTTCAGTCCAACTACTGTTGAATGCTACTTTCTAAAGCCCCCCTTGCCTTTCCACAACGCCCCCATTAACCCCCCTTGCCTTTTCACAACGCCCCATTGTAAACCCCCCCTTGCCTTTCCACAACGCCCCCAACACAAGTGCCCCTTGCTACAGAGCTTCGATCTGCATCGGTGCACCGTCTGCAGCCCCCTCCTGGACCCTCCCGGGCGACTCTTCCGGTGCGCTGCTCACCTCGGGAGAGTCTTTTGCTTCGCCCCGGGGCAGCATCACTGTAAGCGCCTCCCTAAACGCCACCGCCCCCGGAGACTCTTCATCAGACTGCCCCCCCCCCAGTGTGTCAAAGTTCAGCCACCCAGGGGATGCAACAGCATGCCGGGACGAGAATAGTCCTGCCAGGGGGGAGAAAAGTGTGCCTAGAGAGGGGGAGGGGAGGCCGGGCATCCCCCCCCGGTGGAAAAAGCTGGTTAGGCGCGAGACCGACAAGCTCAGGGGGTTGGTCGGTCGCACGGACGCAGGGCGCAGATCGGGGTGACTAGGTTTGGGCTGGATAATCTGCGTTTTGATGACTGTGGGCCGGAGGGGAGGGGGCGCGAGGGTTTGGATTCGGGACTTGACGACCGTCTCTGGTTCGACGGTCTGAATGCGGGCTCCAGTGGTCACTTCCCGCTCGAGAGGCGTGGCCGGCGAGGGGGCACGAGCTTCTCCTGGCTGAGAAACGGGTTTTGATTGAGTCTGGGGCTGAACTTTGGTGGAAACACCGTCCGCAGTGGACCGAGTTAGCTGTTGGACGAGGTTGCGGAAGCTAGATGCGTCGGCATGAATCACTGTCGGTCTGGCCTTCTTCCCCGACTTTGGTTTAGGCTTTACCACCTTTTTGCTCTCCTGGTTTTGTGGGATGGCGATAGATGTGTCCACATCTTCACCCCGCGCGTTTGAAGCGACCATCGCAAGTGCTTTAAGTTATAACGTGTCTATGAGATGCAGCACCTTGATTTGCTGGATTCACAGCTGCTGAAAATATCCGCCTGTTGAACAGTAAGCCTTTCCGAATTTTACATGTTGACACTATTGAATTGTGCTTTGAACTTCTCTACACTGCTCACTTTATCTTGTCAGCGGAAGCAACAACCCCTGAAAGCTGCATTCGTGGTCACATTGGCCCTTGTTCTGTGGCATTCGTCAAACCACCACTGCAGCCAGTCTTTTTGCTACAAAATTAATCTGAAAGAAGCATTAATGCTACTTCGCGCTGCTTGCTCTTCTGAGAATGCACGGTGATGCTGATCGTGTGAAATGCAGGACAACGACGAGTGTCTGGAGCTAGCTCACCCCATCTCTAGCCATTCTTCCCTGGAAGCTGAAAGCTGTCTGCTTCATTGCGCCTAGCAGCCCCTAGCTCAAGCTACTGCATTGCACCTCGTAAGAAGCTGCACTTTCGACGCTGAAAACTGTTCACAGCTCTGCAGTGTGTGCACCCGTCTGGCGCATTTACACCTCTGCTTGTGGTCTTTTGCTAGACCGTATAAGGTCCAATGTAAAGCATGTCTTCTGTGGTTGGCTGACGTTGCAACACCGCAGCCAGGCAATGATTGGGTCAACGCCTCGTGATCGGCTTTGACTAATAACGCGGCCGCAAACGTTTCTGAGCCGTCCATCGGGGTTGCCTCTGGTAGCATCGACGGCTGTGTCGCCTCTTGCTTCAGTTGACTCAAAACCCTTCAAAACCCGGGCCGTCCGTACAACCCGTACGGATCCAACTCTCGGGCCCGGGCCGGTACGTGCGCGCGGCGCTACCCGCGTACGCGCCGGCCCTGGGGCGAGAGCTAGGGGGCGAGCCGGATTGTCATGAGAACGTCACAAGTACGATCACGGTCGATGCCTGGTTCGATGAAGCTCAATGATTTGCTCAACGTATGGACGCTTTTACTGACTCAGCTCAGTCTGTGACGAAAAGAGGAAGGAGAGGAATGACTAGAGCGGTTGGCTGCCCAAAGATTCTTTGTTTTCCGGCCCGTCACGTTCAGCAAGTTATGGTTAATCGAATCATCAGCAGATGGAGCTCATTGGTTCCACCCGGGCCGGAGTTGCCCGTAGAGGGCGAGATCGGCTGCGCCAAGCAAGGCACCAGCAGGTGGCAGCCTGGCAGAGTCTTCAACGCTGACGTGCACGTCTAATTAGTTAATCTTTGCAACCTCATTGTGGCTTGCGTGAATTTGCGAAAATGATTTGGCAACCGTATGTTAGCCTCGGCCACTCGTACTCAGGTGGAGTGCCCGTGGAGTGGCGGTATGGAGGATCGTAGTCCATTCACATGTCTGCACGTCCAAAATTGTCTCATCACACTGGCGGCTTCGAAGCAAGATCCGGACTCCATCACGAAATAGGTATACTTAGTGGCCATGACTTGGGAATTGTCCATGTCATGAGGTACATACGATAGACGAGACCTGCATGTCAAAGGTTGCGTACTCAACATCGACCGTCCTCGATTCTTCGTGAGATGTAAGCCGGGCTACTGAACCCCTCCTCTTGTTTGCAACACAGATTTGGCACTCCACAAAAGCGCTCAGAGCATTGACTCTGCAACATACATTTCAAAATCGCCGCAAAATTCCGTGTCCGCATGAATTATCAGCAAAGATGTACTGAGCCCATATGACCCCTGTTTCCAGTGTTTTGCCGTTACGTTTGATCGAAGCTTCTATGGGACTGTGGCAATGAATCTTCAGGAACAGGGAGCTTCGAGAATTCGGGCTCCTAAACTAACAAAACCGTAACTTTCGAGTTGGCCTGCTTCGCACCCGTACCCACACCGGCACCCCAAAGTAACCCAACCCGTCCCAAGCTAGTGGTCTATACGCTTACAATTCCCGAATCAAACTTTTATGCACTCGTATTGGCTGCGCACACATAACCCGAGCAGGCTGCCCCGGTCGGGGGCGCAGTCTGGAAGACGACGCACTGGCGAGTCACCGGGTAAGCCGCCGCCGTGTTGCCGAGCCCGGTGGGGCTGGGCGCGACCGCGATGCTGGTGAGCGGAAGAAGGATGCACAGGCCCTGCAAAGGACTTCGTTAGGGGTGTTTCCTTGCTGGCTCGACAGCTCCGTTAGACGTCCAGAGAAAGTTGGTTCGGACAATCTGATCGGCTCTTTGTTCGGACAGTCTGATCTGCTCTTCCAGTTCGGGACCAGTAGCCGGTGGTCAGAGACACGGACGCGAAGGGCGCAGCGAGCTTTTGAAACGTCGACAGACGCGCAGAGATCACTGACGTGGAAGGCTCGAAAGATAGTGAGCTCGTTTTTACTCACGACGGAAATCTGAGACAGAGGGAGTTCTGTTTGCGATGTTGTTCCGTACGTTGAAGAAACTGCTGATCACTGAAACGAGAACGGGTGTCTGAGTTCTATTTGCGATGTTGTTCCGTACGTTGAAGAAAGTGCTGATCACTGAAACGAGATCGGGTGTCTAACCACACAAGGACAACAATACTGACCAGAAGGTGAGCTTCCGTGGAAGACCCTGCAACATGTGAACATACTTGGCCTCCAGCATTCTGCGAGTTTATCGATTCCTTTGCCTCTCGCAGCGCCAATGGACATTCGAGGCAACGTGTTTTGGATTAGCTTCCACCTAATCGACCAGATTATGCGGCCGTCAAGAGAAAGCTGATGCGAGGTATTCTGTTGCAACGACGCGAAAGATTACTGCAGCACCGTTTGTCGGAACTCGTGTTACCATCGGTTGCAAAGTCGAGACAGGCATGAAAAGCGAAACTGAAGAGGGACCACCGAAGTGGCGCGCTCATTCGCACCTGGAATGGTGCGGGGTTGGAAGGCGTCGTGAAGGCGAGCAGGTTCCCGCTAACGGAAAACAGGTTGGCGAGAGAAGAAGAAGAGGGGAGTCCGCTAGTGTTTTGCGCGAGGAGACTGAGCGAGCTGACGCACCAGCGCGTCAGAGCGACGGGCGCGCCCGCGCCCGCTGACGTCACCGCGTTTCCGAACCTGTCAGACAGTTGGGTGACGTCAGGCGGGACACGAGGTGAAACGAGATGACCATGCAGAAGGGTCCCCCTTGGAGCGAAACTTCCAAACAAAAGGCTGACCGTTCTCCTAGAAACGGACAGCTCGATAGTAGGCGTTCTCCCTTTTATCAGCATCCGCGAATTCAATCTACGCATCACGTAAAGATAACCTTGACGTAGTTATATCACAAAGAGAGCGACAACGACAGGGCCGCTTAGAGACAAGCGTCTGGATCCAGAAGGATTGCGAACTGGAAGAAGGAGCGATCGTTGGGTGTTAGCCGGCCAACTTTCTGAACTGTCCATTTTATTGTCGGCCCTGATCATGTTTTGCAGAGGCTCCCAAACGCAATTGCACTTATAACTTGTACGACCAGGCGATAGAGCAGAGCACAAATCCCGCTTGAAAATCTGACTCCTTTCCCCCAGACGCTTTTTGGAAGTAAAGAGAGGTGCCTCTCAAAATTGAAACGGCCGGAAGGGCCTCAATCTTTCATCCTTACCTTGACAGCAGCGATGCGGTGGAAAACGTTTGGGTAGCTCCGGGAGTACCGCCCGCGACGGAGAACTGGGGGAGGTAAGTGGGAAAGCCCGAGAAGAAAAAGTCGCAGTCCGCTGTGGGGCTGCAGAAAAAAGGACTCTATTTATCGACTTATGTTGAGCTAAAAGTTCGCCCTGAGGTCAACAGACGTCTTTCAGGATACCGGATGAGGAGATGAAACACGATGGAGGGCGAAACATGTTCCGATTGGCAAGATCTGCAGGATCCCTGCAAGTACTGTCGTCAGAAACTTTACCGCCCGACAAATTGCTGCCTTTCAGTGGCCAGAAAGGTGCCCACCGATTGGCGCCAGTCAACGCACTTCTTTGGCGTTGAAAGGGCACCAGCTATGCCATCGGCCACCAAATGACGCCCAATTGCCACGGACCTTGTGGGCGTCAAAATTGCTCAAAGTACAAGGTGGTGTCGCAACAACGAAATGACAACTTTAGCAGACATGTCAACGCAACTGTTTTGGCACGGGCCTACATGGCGCATTTTAGGCGTCAGTCTACCTTAGGGGAAGCTTTGTGATGCAACATTCTGGCAGACTAGCACTAAAACCAGCATTCTGGCTGTGGCGTTGGAAAGCGGCAAATCAGACCGAACGTTGGTGATCCATTTGTCACATACCAGTAAAAGCGTTCTGAATGACTATCACACCACTCACACCGCTCCCATGCGCGCCCTCAAAGGATAACTTTACCTCAGTGGGTGTCGAGGTAAACTCCTAAGAAGATGCCTCTGAACTGACTGTCACCTAATGCCAAGAACTTTTCGGATCCTCAGTAACCCCAAAGTTCTTCGTTCTCTGAAATTGGGATTATGTAGAGCAGATAGAAACTCAGATGAGCGGGGGTGTAGGGTGGAAATATAACAAGGAAGCGTATGCTGCTCGCTCACCTGCATGGGCACAGGGGAAAGATTCTTTGGGCCTCTGCAACCAAGGCCTCCTTTTGCAGCAGGCCACTGAGAAGGATGAGGCAAGAAACTACGGGTGATCGCCTGCCAAGCGTCTTCATTTTGGTGCCTTTCGCACTTGGCTCTTGCGGCTGCTCCCTCAAGCTGGCACGAGTTGCCCTTCCTTTATGCTTAGCCAGCAGCTTTGAGCATCTGTGAACCTTCAAAAAGAATTCTTACGCAAGATCGTCAAGGGGAATCCCTGGTCTTTGCAATCCCAATTACCGCTCGTGTCAACCTTTCACCACTTTCTCTCTGACACTTACGAGAGACCTTGGAAGCGCTCGTAATCTGGCCGAACCAGCGAGACAAGCTTTCAACCTCCAACGACAGCTAAGTTGCTTCCAGGTCAGGAGTGCCCGGGAAAGTCGAAGCAAAGCGCCATCCAGATCTCACCCACTTTCCGGTGAATACTTCTCGCGTGATTTCGCCGCAGGAACAGTCAATTCTCCCCTTTCTGCTTTTCAGCGTGCTCGGATCCGCCCCGACCACATCACATTCTCGCAACAATTGCGCGTGCGCCCAGCTCATCTGTCTGACCTAGAATGACCGGCCGTAAAGCTATCAAGCGACTTCGCAAGTTCGTGACGATACGATGCCCCTGCTCTTCTTGCTTCGCTGACCTGTCTGCAAGTGAAACCGCATCGTCACCGTCAGCTGGTAGGTTCACGTCCACGCACTGACCAGGACCGCTCAGATTCCGAAGCAGTGGGCATCATTCCTGACTCGGTCATTCGTGCAGATCATTGATCCCTACATAATGGCGAATTCGGACTGTAGGAAGAGTTCGCAGTTTGCCTAGGTGTCACGGTGGACACCTTTTTGCGCCAGTTGTTCCGGATTGAGCAGACTGAACCTGAACGCAAGGGGTCGGTCTTGGTGGAGACGTTGATCATGATATCAGGTCAGTGCATGGCATTCTCGCATGCATTCGACTGGGTCGTCGGATGAAAACTTCTTATACAGTATTCACTCTGGTTAATGATCACTAAAAACTTAATTTGCAGTATCGAACATCATTGCATATCAACGTGGACGTACTGAGCTTCCGAGCAGGCGCACTTCGCAGAGCCTGCCAGCCTTCGGGCCTGGCAAGAGATTCACTGACATGTACATGTACACGTGTCACACCGCAATCAATCTCAGTGGCGCATGCACTGAAGAGGGTATGCACTGATATTACGCGGGCATCATTAGGGCGCATTAAGTTAGGCAGTATGCCGTATTCAGACGCGCGTGCCAGCTGGGAGACAATGCCAAAAGTGATCTAGGATTAAGGCGATTGGGTGGCCCAGGGGCACATGGTGGATATATAGCATGTCTGGCATAACCGACAACAATACGGTAGAAGTACGACGAACCGGTTTTATCCGTTCAATAGCTCTGGTCGATGGATTACGACAGCAGATCTCCCCAACTAAGTCCAGGTCAACGTGCAAGCGCCGCGGCGGAACAGCGTCTGGATTCTTTACATCCGCTGCAATGTATGGATCGTGTCACCAATTAAGATTCTTTCTGCGTATACTTTTATTCAAACTGGTCCCTGTAAATCAAGCCTGTCCTTCCGAAGCGCGGGGTGCCTGTCTACAGGACCTACGAACTATCAGCCTGCAGCTGAGGGATTGTCGCAGGTCTCTAAACTCGACAGTTACCGCCTACTGATCACTACATCGTCGCAGAATGTCCTGAAGTAAGGCGCCTCTTCCGCAACGAAGGCCCTGCCACAAAAACAAAACCGCCGTTTTAGGAAGAAGAAAAGCATTCAAAAAGGTTGATTGTTTGATATGTGGAGTCAACAAGCCACCCCTGGCACCTCGACTTGCTGGCGGCAATCTTTGACAGCCTACTGATTCCAATCCGCCCTCTTTCAGGGCAAAGCAAGGCGTGAGTCGTCGACCCATCAGCGCGTATGTCAGGCATTCACGTTCGGCGGCCCATATGGACCTCTTCTTTACTTCTAGTCTTTCGGGGCTAAAGGCGCTCCGAGGCTGTGGACAAAGACCCTTGCAGAAGTATTGACGACGCTTCCGAAGCAAGCCACATATCGACGACTTTTCACAGCTTCCACAGCCAAGCTCTGGCGTCGAAGTTTAGGCGTCGAAAGAGTGCTGTGCCTAGAAGTCCAGGGTTATGCAAACCCGTGCCTTACCCAATTCGTCGCACCATCTCGGGGTAGTCCCACCGGGGGCTCCAGGGGTAGTTATCGTACGGGTTTGAAGCAACCGCCACCGCGTTTGAGTTAAAGTGCTGCAGAGAGGGTGGGAAAATGGTGATCAGAAACAGGACAAGCCATGACTCAGACCGCTGTTGTCGGATAGAGAAACTGGGCTGACTGACTTAGGGACTGTAAGGGAGTGGCGCGTTGGTGATCGGTAATCAAAAAACGGGAAGAGCCATGACTTGGAACGCTGCTGTCGCACAGGGACTTCGGACAGATTGACCTTGGAACTGTGGGGGAGTGGCGCTTCACTCCACGCCACTAAAAGTCGCGATACGATCTGCGAAATAGTCCAGAGCCCACGGGAAACCAAAACCGAAACATATCGGCGTCTTGAATCGCAGCATGCCTGGAAGAAACCATGGGTAGAGGACCTGAATGACTTCGGAGAAAACCTGGCAAGCGGCGCCATTTTGGCGCCATCATGAACAGATAAAGTAGACTCTCAGCGTCGACCGCGCTGAGCTGTTCAGGACAATCGATTGTCCGACACTTCTGCATCTAACCGGACGCATTGAGAAACGCTGCTGACGTCCCCCTACCGTCAGCACCGCAACCCTCTGCTTTTTCCTACTGGACTGAAAACTCTCATTGCTCCAAGAGAGCAAACTTGAGCTTACCAGCGAGCTCTGGAAAACTAGGATGGGGAGGTCCTTCGGAAATTGGGGGGAAAGGTGGAAGTGAACCTGCAACGAGGCGAGCGTGACACGTCAGCATATGTTACGGGCACACCCCACAGTCCCGACTCAACGTTCTTGTTCCTGAAAAGGGCTGCTATCATCGAAGGTACCATTCTAGATGAGCAGCAAGGCAAACGTCGACCGCCGCTTTAAGAGTCCGGTCGGATTGAAGCGCACGGGGGGAGGCTCCAGCATATCGTGAGGGCTCTCAGTCCAGGACGCGGCGACGGTGGAAGTGCCAGGCTGGCTGCAAGGTCGCCAACACGGAGATGTGCTAAAAGGAGACTCTAACGAGAGACGGCCAGCAAAAGTGTTTTACAATCTCTCATCACGTGACATTAGACAGTAACATGACGTGATATATTCTGAGGATGGTCTTTCTGGTCGACTAATCATCTTTCAACCAGGTGGACCGCTCGCAACGAGAATGCGCCAACTGGGAAACGCTACGATAGCTTAACCCACGAGTGGATCGCGTCTCCAAGCGAGTAAAAACAAGCGTCGCCAGAATCGGACGCTAAGATCGTGAGAGACATAAAACTTCGGCCCAGTCGATTTTGAGGCATCCGAGCAGCAAGGGGTTCAGGCCGCCAAACACGAGCTTAGGGGGAGCTTGACTACGATGCGCAACACAAATAGCGGATTCTGCCCCTGTACAACTCTACGCCTTTCTATCTATACGTCTTACACTTGCAGCTCTGGCGTTCCCTGTGGCCTCTAAACGCCCCAAAACCTCGACTAGGGACAGCAGGAAAAGAATTGTCGAAGAAAGAGCAAATGTGCTTACGATGAAGACGAATCCAGAATGGGAAGCGAGGACGCTCGCCCGCCGGAAGTACTTCTGCAGAGCGGAATGAGCATTTCTATGGTCAGACTTCATCAGATTTCAAAAGCCTCCTGTTATGCAATGAAGGCTGCTGAAAAGTGTACAAACAAGCGCAGGCGCAATCTGGTCTTCGTCACTTCTTGTTCAAGCCGACACGACTGATCTGCGAGGACGACGCCTAGGGTATGACAGGAGTCTATTTCGGCACCTTTTCAGACTACAAGAAATGCAGCTCAAGTGCTCATGCTTCTCGTGCGGAAAGGCGGACAACGACATGTCGGGCAATCTTGGGGGAAATATAGTGACCAGTCGACTTCTTACCGTGTCTACTTCCAGAGGCCGGCCAAAGACACGTGGCAGCTGCTCGATGAACCGGCACCGATACGTGACGGATGCCACGCACAGCTGAACCTGAGATTTGAAAGAATTCGGATCAGAGCTTGACATCCAATTAAAGGCCGACAGATACCGTACGATGTATTGGTAGGGGCACAAGTTACAACGGTCCGAAAGTTCGGCCGCCGAACAGAGATTTCGCAACGCCTCGATTCAAAGGGTCAAGGGACTTGACCAAGTGTTCTAGGCGTGAGCAACTTGCGGTGCCAGTTTCTTGAGGATTCTAACAAAGGTGCTACTTCGAAACGAAGGAGCAAGAGAAAAGTACGTCCTCAATGCAAAAGCTTCTGAACGCTCAGAATGAAAAGGTTGTTCCAGGGTATAGGCGTTGAGCGTCTGAGCAACATTTGCCGCCAAGAACGACAGGGCGCCGAAAAGGCGGGCTCCAGTTCGTCACCTCTAGCTCCGCCTTGCCACTGCACACTTCAACTGGGAGTAAAACTGATCGAAGCAACGTCGCAATCAACAAATCCTCTTAGCTTGTCCAACCCAATAATCGGCCCGGTCAGTAGATTGAAACAGCGAAAAAGCTCAGTCTCAATAAGGAGATGTCGGGAATGAAACGGTTTCACGCTCGGACAAGCATGGAGGTTTTTACCTGTTCCATGAGCTGCTCCTGAAGAGGGGGGATGTACTCCATCAAACACCTGCAAGACAACGTACTGTTTTTAGGCGTGTCCAACATATTCAACGAGCGACGATATGCTGATGCTTGCAGGGCCCACGTCAGTAGCAATTTTGTCACCCAGTTTTGAGGGGCTTTGAGGGCTGAAACACCCGGCGGGAATTAGGGTCCAGTTGGCTCCGACACTCGCATTTACGAGCAAGCAAACCATCCGCTTGATTTGATACCTTGCAGAAAGGGTCACTTTTAGAACGAGCACTCTTTGACGGGCCTCTTGGCTTGCCATAGCGTGACCGACTTTTCCCCAGTCGTCTCCATAACCCTCCCATCACTGAGCAGGAGACCAGTTCACTCGCCGATGATCGAAGATTCTGTGCTATGAGCCATGAGCCATTCCGTTTGAATCGTAGCCCCATCAAAACCCGAGGATTTCACTAGGAGAGACAGAAAGGCTACAGGAAGCAGCCGGTGCGGAGATCGTCACAAGAAAAGTTTGAGAACGAGGGGGAGCGCAATCCCACATGTGCGGTGTCCAGGCGGGCAGCTTCTGTGTGAAGTCGCCCAGGATGTCGCGCACGGCCGGGGGGGTGTTGAGGCTCAGCTGAGGGGCGCCGGGCGGACCGCCGCCACGCTGAAGGGGGAAGCGGACCTGGGAAAAGGAAGAGCCCGTGTTCAAAAGGGCGCCTGTGACCCGTAACGCCTTGGCGACCAGACAGCCCGTATACCGCAGTTCGGGTCGCTGAATCTGGTATCACGTCGTGCCGGAATTCGGCGACACAAGGGCAGAATGTTATGCGAAGTAGCTGCCGCGGGTACAACGTGGTTAGCCGCCCTCTTTAAACTGGAGGTAGGAACTTGACGGACGACATCCACAAAAGCGGACGGCGTCGTTTCCCTGGTTGATCACAGTCTCGGACGGCATCGACAACCCTGGAAAAAGAACACCCTGACCCGTCCGATCGAGCTGGCAAGCACGCTGGCGAAGCCTACTCTGATTTGCAACTTTTTGAAAGCATTTGCCTCTCGTGATTTGTGGTTTGTAGTTTGTTCTTCTCCCCCTTCCCAAACCACCGAACGCGTCCAGCCGTTTCGTTGCCTTCCTTCTCCTGATTGCAAACGGTTTCTGACATGGAAAGCAACACGGAACACATGCAGAATGTCCAAAATGTCTTCCGTCGGCAAACTTGCCGGATCAAGAAAAGGATTGGCATCACGGACTGCGCCGCTTCCATACCGCACTCGTTACAAGGTGCAATCAAAGCGTGTTCGACTTGACTTACAAATAGTTGGACACGTGGGGTGGGTTGACTGGGGAGCGACAGCGCGGCAGCTGTTAACCTTGCGTATTGCTCTGGTTACAAAGTGTGTACTACAAGTCAAAGTGTGGGTCGCCGCACTTACAAAAAGTTGGACGCGGGGCGTGGGCTGGCCGGGGGGCGAGAGCGCGGCGGCGGTTGCCGCTGCGGGGCCATCTCGGCCACGAAGGAGGGCCTCAGGTGAGAGGTCGATGCCAGGTAGGGGGATCACCATGTGCACCTCCTCTGGCTGCAATAGAAAAGGAGGGGTACGATCAGTAGTGAAAATCACCCCCGAAGAAAGAGGGCCTCGAGAGTAAGGTCGATGTCGGGGGAGGGGGATCACCATGTGCACCTCCTCTGGCTGCATTGGAAAAGCGGGGTACGAGCAAGAGCAGGAAATATCCCCCAACAGAGGCCTCGGGAGAAAGGTCGATGCCGGGGAGGGGGATCACGATGTGCACCCACGGTGTTGTTGGGGGGGCATCACGGGCAAAGACCACCCCCCTCTAGGTGATGGGAGTCCTTGGGCGGGGGGAAAGAATATGCACAGGGCGTCTAGCTGTCGTAACGAGTGCATTGCTTCTTTGGGATGATGCCAGGAAGGGGGGAGTAAAAGATTTAAAGGAACCGGTGGCTAAGAAGCGACGGATGGGTGGGGTTCAGAAGGGGAGATAATTTCCTAGCCAACACGAGCTTGAAGAGATGTCCACAGCAACTTTGGATCACAGATAACACGTTTTGAAAGAATGTTTACAAGTTCTCACCCGGTCGGGGCCCTCTGCCAGGCAGACCTCGAGGCCCTGCGAATAAAACAGAATCTGCGTCAGCCTAATCAGACCAAAAATGAGCGGAAAGAGAGCATGTTGGGTAATTTTGCTTCAAAGATGAAGATACCAAGTGAAGCTGAAGAATCCGAGTGTAAGCTACTCGAAAAATTCAATGTGGGATCGAGCTCTTGTTGAGGCGAAATGAAGAGCTTTCATTATGGGCTCTCTCGTGACAAGGCCTGATATTTGCCACCCTTCTAATCTACTCGACCTCGTTTTCAAAACACGAGCCACCGGAAAACGTCTCTACATTGGGGAGCCCTGTTAGGCATTCTGTGATGAGCATGCCTTAACCCAGCCTAAAGTCACCCAGTAGACAGGGGCGCTCACTCACCTCAAGGTGGCCTATGGTGCTGATTTCGAACTTTATTCTGTCGTCCTGTAGTGCCTCCACCTTTCGCCGCTGGTACTGAACGTACAGCCGCCTGCAGTCACGTTCGTTCCATTGTAAGCCTTGGTACCGCAGAGTTTCTGGCGCATCCTTCTATTGGGAAGTCCCCTTTGGAGCCAAAACGTTTCTTTCAGGCCGTAGATGACTGGCTTCGTTGTGAGACTTTCTTTCTCGCGCAAGTGCTTGACAAAGCTGGAGGTTCGTAGCTCTGGTTGGATGACGTACGACTAACAGTTTGCCCATCATCCTTCCTCGCATATTTGACCAATGCTCTCAGCCGTGGCCTCGGCCTGAAGAGTCTGCCAAATGAACGCTTCCTGTTGGACAATCCCTGCCTTTTACCAAATGACGGAGGTGGGTCCTTCATCATAAACAGCGGGTCTGCAGAGCCTAGGCTGCATCAGCTGCGGATTTTCCCTGCGACTGAAATGACGTTCTTGAGGGAAGGGGAAAAGGCACTTCCCGCAGCAAATGCGAAAGAAAGTGAAATCCTGACGCTGCCCATGGCTGCAATTCAAAGATCTGGTTCAAAACTCCACGGCCAATCATCATTGTCCTTATTCTTGCACAAGTTTTCTTTCCTGCTGGATTCCTTTTTGAAAGAAATGCGCCAGTTTCTTAAAGGATGTGAGTGCATCTCCGTCCCTCACCTCAGAGCTAGGAGCATCCCCAGAAGGTTCGCCTCTTCTGGCACGTGTGGTTTCGAAATCATGTCCACGTAAGGAACCACTCTGGGGGGATCAGTAGAGGCGTTGTCTGAAGGGGGCGGCAGCAGGGGCTGGAAGTCGCTGTTTTGGGGGGGGAAGACGACGTCCGGGGGCAGGTTTGGCTGAGCTGCATTGTAAAGCACGTGCCCTGGTGGGGAGGGTGTGCAACGATGTCAGCAACAATCATTTCAGAATCAGAATCAGGTTTCACAGCCGCGCCAGGAAGGAGAAACTAAAGTCGCCCGACTTTTGGAGATTTTTGCAAGGCGTTGATCACTGCGCTGTTTATTCTAGTCCCAGTACGAGCGACCTGTATGTCACATCCTGATACGCGTTTGCTAGACCACCCTACGCGCTTTGACTGGGTGGATGATTGACTACTGATAAGAGAGATACTGGTCTTTCTAGGAAGGGGCAGAAGTAAAAAGCTTACATTGCACGCTCTCAAGGCCGCAGGGGATGTGCACGATGAACCGGTCTGCGTATTCTGAGTGGGGGCTGCCCCTTCGTATCTTGTCAATCTGCACAGCCATGACAGAATGCTTACACTAAGGTTTCTGTCAAATTCCTCGTAATCTAGCCCTTGTCTCACGGCTGATGCTGCCCTGCCTCAGAGATGGTGCACAGTATTGTCAAGTTGGCTCTGTCAGTGACACAATGAAGGGCTCCGTGGTTTGAAGAGATCAAACATCTGCTTTCAATGCGTTTGCGTAGCATTCGAGGGACTCTGTTGGAAGAGCACTCTTCAGGACGAGACTCATAAGCGGCCGAAAGTGACAGTGGTACAAAGTATATCAAATCAGAGCCAAAGCACTTTGAAGGCTGAATGGATCACACCAGGAGTTGCTGCTCGCACTGTACCTGCTCATAACGCTGTCTTTTATCTTGCACTGAAGCAGGTCGGATAGAAAGCAGCCACATTTTTAAGCAGCTGCGGCAGCCTCCGTAATCACAAGCGCATACGTTCAGTGGCGCAGTTTAACCAAAGTGCCCTTAAGCTGTCCCGCAGTACGCCCAAGAAGAGGTGGTAATCAGAAGCCTACCACTATCGAAGGATCAGAGCCACCCTTCTTACCTTGAAGTGCAGGTCCTGATAGCTGCGCAATGCTGCCACTTGCACCGCAATCGACGGCTCCAGGCTGTCCATTGCGCCCTGCTTCGGCGAGACACTGCCAACGAGGCCCTTTTGCCGTGTTCCCGAATTGTCCCTGCTGCAGAAGTTAAACATAAGGCGTCCCGGCCCTTGAGGCTTGAGAGACGAGAATAAGGCGCCCTACTGCGGTACTAGCTAAAGTTGACCTCATGCTCTTTAAATATGCTCTGAGTGCAGGCTGCCTGAACTGCATTCCCCCCGATCGCACCGTAAGAAATTACCCAGGACTCCCATCGCATGTTTCCGATGAATATTGCGAACGACTGGGTGATATAGGCAGGGTCCGCCTTTAATAAATCTGTGACTGGGGGGTGATCGAACACGCTCGAATCACCCCCTGGGAAGACACTAAGGACTAGCCTACCCTACATAAGTCATCTCTAATCAGGTAGAGGGCGGGTGGGCAAGCAAGACTCTGCAAGTTTTCTAAGTTGGCGAGTTGGAATGAGGAGTTTCCAACTCCGCCACAAGCTATTTATACTTTATTTTAGAGGGCTGCGCACACTCCTAAACATTATTCGAAAAGTCTTATCGAAGTATTCACCACTATTATCGGACCTAAACCTATTCGATAATAGTCGACATACTTTTCTTCGGTGCGATTCAAAGGGACACCATCAGATTGAAAGAAGCTAGCCAGCACATTGTCATTGTCAGATTTTTGAGCAGTTCGAGGTAGGTGCACCGCCTCCCCCTGGCCTTTTAAATCGGGGCACTCAAGTGTTTGCAAGGGGCACCATTGCGCATCGCAGCCAGGCAGCCCCGTCTCCATGGGAATGGGAAGCGCCTCCTCGGCGCTCGCTTCGCGCGCCAGCTGCTTGGAGCGGGCCCTTTCTTCCGCCACCTCCCGCAGCGTCACTCTTGCACGCACGTTGCCAACCGCCGCCGCCTTCATTCACAGGGCCTCAAAGCACTCCTGCAGCTGCCTGAGCAATGGCAGACAATCTCTCAATCCCTCCAGCGCCTCCATTCTCAACCCCTCTTGGATCCCACAGCCCTCGCTGACATCATTATTAGGACGGAAGCCGTTCTACAGCGTCCGAGCGGAGGCCGCTGACGTGGCGCTCGCATCACCGGCTGCCAAGCAGAGCAAGAAGGAGGTGAAGAAGGGGAAGGGCCAGAGTGAAGCAACGAAGGTGACGCCGAAAAGCGAGGACTTCAGCCAGTGGTACCTGGATATCATTAGGGAGGCGGAACTGGCGGATTATGGGCCTGTCCGAGGGACGATGGTCATTCGACCGTACGGGTACGGCATCTGGGAAGCAATTCAGGTGCAGCGCCAGAGGAACCACATGTGCATTCCTTTTTGACCTAATGCTGCGGGAAGAGAGCTTGAAGGTGGCAAATGTTAACTCCTTAAAACAGAAAGGTTGTGAAAAGAGTTGGAGTGGTGTGAAAGTTGTTGATACAGAACATTCTGTCTTGGCGCAACAAGTAGAGAAGTTTCTTCCGAAAAGCGTTCATCTGTCCTTGCTGCTTTTCCATGTCAGCAGTAAAGGCTGGCACCTCCGATGCAACCCACATGTATCAGATTACATTCTGTCACTGGAATGCTCTTCGATGGGGAGGTGGTGTGCATTGATCTGCGCTAACCGGCGCCTGGCGCTGCATTTCAGGGATGGCTGGACAGGCGGTTCAAGGAGACGGGGCATGAGAACGCATACTTCCCTCAGGTATGACTCCCCACTCGTCTTACTCCGGTGGCTTGCTAGCTTGCGCAACACTTCCTCAGTGTATCAACCTCCAATCTGGAAAACACTTTGGGAACAGTGATCACAGCTGATATACCGAGGCTTCACAAGTACACCACGGTCATAGAAGAGTCGTCAAAGCTCTACCAAACTCTGCCAAATGCCATCCACCAAGGTCCTTCCGTGTAGGGGCAAGAGATCGCTCAAGTCAGGAAATCGTGACTTTGTCTGCAGTTCATTCCCTACTCCTTCATAGAGAAAGAGGCCAGCCATGTGGAAGGCTTCAGTCCAGAGCTGGCGCTCGTGACCGTTGGGGGGGGCAAGGAACTGGAGGAAAAGCTAGTGGTGAGCGCTCATGGCCTCCCTTGGTTGAATTGCATTTCTCGGGCCCGATGATTGCAGAATAACATGTGCAACGTTAAGTGCAACGTATTTGGTGCAAACTGTGCGAATTTTAACTCAATACCCTGGACATAATGCCTATTAAGGGACATACCGAACCCTCCGTCAAAAACATGATGCTGTCCCTGCGCTTTCAAGAGGCCCGAGTTTAGCCTTCTGTGTTCCTAAAACTGTAGATCTTACCTTCCTGAAAGATAAACTTGGCGTGATTGCCTCTTTGCTGTTCAGTCCACCTGCGCTGCCGGTTGTCAGCAGTGTCTACTTCACACGAACCGAAATTCTGCTTCAAAAACTAGACGAACTTTCCTGAATGCCCCAGGGCCGCAGATCATTTATGTTGCTCGAACCGCTCTTGCTAAGCCTGAACCTCCCACAGAGTTTTTTGCAAAGGCACTTGGACCACTGCGGAGGTCCCTGTTGGACCTTGAGCGAGTCAGGAGTGCCTGCAGATTCATCTTTTCTCCACTTCGTTCTTTCCCCCTCAAAGAACTTCTCACAATCGAACAAGTCCTGTGTGGAAAAGTGAGGGGAGTCTGCTCAATACGCCCAAGGAGTTTAAAGACTTTGAGACGAGGTCTTCATATCATGGTAGAAATCCACATTAAATATCCCCAAAATCGAGTTCCCGTCATGCAGGTCCGACCCACCAGTGAGACGATGGTGAACCATATGTTTGCACAATGGATTCAGAGCTACCGGGACCTGCCTCTCCTACTGAATCAGGTACTGATCCAAAGACGCTTTGCCTTTGCGAGTCGTTTCCAGCTCTACGTTTTCAATGAAACACCACAAATATAAGCATGCCCTCCAGTAGAAGGCTGGTTGGTAAATGTCCCTGCGTCTCACAAGCATATGTGATTCACCGTTGTCCATCCCGTTGTGTTTCGTTAAGAGCATGGCTGCGCATCCTCATTTGTAAATTGTTGCAAGGAGTCCCAATTGACACAAACTCCTTGTTTCGTATGCCGCTGCGCACCGCCCTGCCCTACCTACGACGTTAATTCCCTCTTCGTCTGATCCTCTTTTGTGTGAGATTTGACGCACATCCTGCTCGCGACGTCCCACAAACCGTGTGATCATCCTTATCTTGTCAAACCGGTGCCCGAAGCAGCAGCTGTTATCTTATGCAGTGGGCGAACGTGACCCGGTGGGAGATGCGGACGCGGCCCTTTGTGCGGACGCTCGAGTTCCTATGGCAAGAAGGGCACACAGCGCACTCGAGCGCAGAAGAAGCAGAGGAAGAGGTGAGGCCGCATCGCAACTATTCGATAAAGGATAGAAATTGCTCGAAGAGATGCGAGAGTTCCTCTCTTTTGGGGAGCTGTAGACTAGCCAGCCTTCGAAGGCACGTTGACCTTATTTGGACGAAGCTTTCCTTAAAAACTTGTGAGTCCAACCGAGGAGGACTTGCTCGTTTCGAACCGTTCGCTCACAACTGTTGTCAGGACAGGTGTCGTACTTCTCGTGACGTGAAGAGGGCAGGAACAAAGAGGCCAATCCCATAAGTTCAACTCAAACTTGAATATAAGCCTGAGATATACTCCTTCGTGTCCAATCTCGAACCGTTTCCTTTTCCAACGCAGCTCTCATTGTCCGTTGTCCTCCCGTTTCAAGTGTCGACATACGTCGTCAGAAGCATTGCGGTGTCAGGGAGCAAGTTTGCGGGCACAAAACACATTGCTAACGAGTTCTCGGGCCGCTGGCGGAGACCCATATCCAACCGTACAGTACAGCAAACAGTACAGTACAGTACAGTTCAATGTCTGAACGTCACCCATCGCCTTTAAAACTAAATAAGGGGGTGCTTGGTGGCGGAGTAGCAAACCTTTGCGGCAGACTGCACCGTCTGGTGCAAGTTCCGGTCTAAAGCCCCAGCCTCGTCGATCACTAGAACGGTCAATCCCTTAAAATGGAACGGTCAGACCCTTACAGTGGAACGGTCAGACCCTAAAGTAGAACGGTCAAACTCTAAAGTAGGACGGCCAAAAGCTAAACGGTGGAACTGTCAAACCCTAGACCAGAAGGGTCGGATTCCAAGAGTCGGGATCGGTCAAAGCCTCATAACCAGGATTGTCGAACCCTGAAAACAGCGGCCAAATACAAATACTAGATTGATCAAATGTGAAATCAGTACTGTCAAACCCCAAAATCGTAAGTTAAGTCTTTTTCATTGACCCGCAGGCTTTGCGCATGGTGGAGGTGTACCGCGAGTTTGCGGTAGAGCAGGCCGCAATGCCGGTGATCGTCGGGCGCAAGTCGCGGTCCGAGACGTTCGCGGGCGCCGTTCGGACGTACACGATCGAGGGCATGATGGGCGACCGGCGCGCGCTGCAGGCGGGGACCAGCCACAACCTGGGGCAGAACTTTGCAAAGGCGTTCGGGACGCAGGTGCGAAAAGGCTACTTTTTTATCGTTTTTTAGTTGTTGAGGCAAACAAGTTCCCTGGCCCAAACGTTTTTATTGCGTTTTGCTTTTTCTGTGCAACCGCCTTCTGATGTTGCGGGGACCAGCCACAACCTGGAGCAGACTTTGCCAAGGCGTTCAGAACGCAGGTGTTTCGGATAACTGGGAAGTATTGCTCACTCAGAAGACAGGATCCGCTTCATCTTGGCATCCTTTTGGTAACCGCTCTATTTCTTTTCAGCTTTGTTTTTCTTAGTGCCTGGAAGATTAGATAGAGGTGAGTCAACGAAAAGCTGGACAAGCGACTCAGCAATCATGCACTGCGTGCGTTGTTTGCTGAGGCGGTCCAGAGCGCACCTCCTCCTTCAACGAGCGCAATCGATCTCTTCCGAAGCAGCGCGACCCCTTTGACGTCACACAACATCACTCTATGCAGGATTTCTAGTGGGGAGGGCGAGTTTGGCAGACTCGCGCCTTGGTCTAGCTACCCCTTGGAACAACCTTAGTACTTTTTGTTCACGTCCTGCCGGATCCTTCCAGAATTCCGATGTTACGCTGCAGTACCTTGGCAAGGCGGGACCCGAAACGTCGTGTAGCGTTCTCGGAACACTTCCTTCAACCCTCTTCTAGAGAACACCTCAGAGGCCCCCTTTCTGTTCGTAGCATCTTAGCACCTCGTTTGACACGCCCCTGACGGTCACGCTGACGTCACGTCGTGCAGTACTTGAGCGAGGCGGGCGCCCAGGAGTTCGTGTGGCAGACGTCATGGGGCATGAGCACGCGCATGGTGGGCGGCATCATCATGACGCACGGTGACGACACCGGCCTGCGCCTCCCGCCCAACGTGGCGCCCGTCCAGGTGAGGAACTTACAGCGGTTTGCGCGAAATGTGCACCCTCGAAAGCTGCGAGAACTGCCGATTACACGCTCTTGGGCCGTCCGATCGGCCAGCTCCTGTTGATCGGACGGTTCAAGATCATGTAGAGAAGGTCTCGGCTTGGAAATGAGGGGGGCAACTTTCACGCAAACAGCTGTGTTCCGTCGCATTCAGCGTTGAACAGAACGTCATTTTGGATTTCAGCTCGAGTGGTTATACCTATTCAAGTCGGAACGTTGCAGATCTAAGAAAGATTCGATTTTATGTCGGATGCACCCGGCATGGTCCCTGACGACAAGTTTAGTCTGCAGCAGAGAAGATACTTGAAGTTTCTTGCTCGACAATATCGTTTCGCGTGACGAGCACCAGATTTCTGAGGAACGTAGCATCTTCACTTTGATCTGCCCCCGAGCCGTGGTTGCGCCCAACGTAATTCCCCATCAGCGGCACGTCGCAGGACTCCCTCTCGATTCACCTAGACGGCCACTAAATTAGTCGCTTCTCGAGCGGCGCCGCCCCTCAATCTCACGCCTTCTACCTGACGTCATGCTCTATACGCCTCGTCAGCGGAGTGCTCTCGAGCGGACGAACGGACTCGAGGGTTTTTCTCCGCGGGCCCGCTGCGATCCAAAGTGATTGCCAAAGTGATTGCCAGTTCTCAAAAGCAAGGAAGGGCTTCTATTTCGAAATCCATCCTCTGGAAACGGGTCCCACCCAAACAAGGACGACCCACTTGGTTCGGAAATCTCTTGTTCTTTTTTCAAAAAGCATCTCGAAATATGCACATGTTCTTGCTTCCTCTTTTTTTGGGGACACGATAAAAGGACGAGACACTAACTTCGGCGCCCCTTTGCCTCAGGCGGTGATCACAGCTTTAGAATTGTTCTTGCAGAGAGCTGTAAATCCTGTTCGCCAGACGAAAATACGCGTCTCTTTAGATATCTATTCTGATTTGGACGCCCCTTTCCTCAGGCGGTGATCGTGCCCATTTGGAAGAAGGAGGAGGAGAAGGAGGCTGTTCTACAGGCCGGTGCGGACGTCCAGAAGAAACTAGCGGCGGGGGGCGTCCGAGTGAAGCTGGACGCAAACGAGCAGCGCACGCCGGGCTGGAAGTTCAACTTCTGGGAGATGAAGGTGGGCGGGTCGTTTTCCCTCTCCCTTAGGAGAGAAGAATTGTTTGTGTGGTACTGAGAAAGCAATCAAAAAGCGGCACGAGAAACAGATTGGATCGTACTTTGGATTATTCGAAGACTGTTCCCAACGAGTCGGAGAAGGAAAAGATGTTGCGTTATAGCGATTAGTGTCATCCGATGGCTCTTGTCAGCTCCAAACTATTTGTCTCGAGCATAGTTCTCCCTTGAGCCGGGCCACGGCAAGCACGACACCGCGCTTCATATCGTCAGGTTTTGCCTCTCCCAATTGTTCTAGTGGGCGAGTCTCTCTGAACGCGCTTTTTTACTGCACCTCAGGGCGTGCCAATCCGCATCGAGATCGGGCCCCGGGACGTGAAGGAGAACGCGGTGGTGCTGGCGCGGCGAGACAAGCCGGGGAAGGAGGGCAAGGAGTTCGGCGTCTCGATGGACGGTGAGGTTCTTGATTTGTCGTTCAAGGGTCTAAAGTCGCTTTCAAATCGCGGACGATGAATCAACGACATTCTTGTTTTATGTTGGGGCGTAACCAGAAGCACCGGGGAGGTCAGCATTCTGAGTCACGGAGGTTTGACTGGACGGGTGACACAAGGGAGATGAGACTTGCTGTGGCTGTCCTACTATGAGAAGGCTCAACTTTCATTGCGATTTCTATGGCTATTACTACATAGAGAGGGTTGCGAAGAGAAGCACTCGGACAAGGTAGTGCTAGTGCTTTCCGTTTATTTAGCTCCTCTTTTTTTCATCTTCTTCTCCTTCCCTACGTGATCTATTGGGCACCACCTGCTCAAGCTAAAAGTGCTACCCTGACGCTGCTCGTTTCCCTAGCCCATGCCATCCTTTCAAAACCTCAAAACAGCACTTGAAGGCGTCTAGGACGAAGAAAAGAAAGGGCCAAGCCGCAATCCGAAATTCATTCCAAAAGCGTCAGTGTAGTACCAACCTCAACAAATGGTTTGACCGACACGAATGGCGACCACAATCCAGTCAACTGGACACTTCCTGATGTAAAGCCTCGTAATATGAGCAAGGGGGCGTGCGCAACCTCGTTCCTTTTGATGGGATCCATCCTGTGGTGAAGCAGTCGCCCGCGGCATCCGTTAGCTCTCACTCTGAACCCTGTTCATTCCAAAGACGCCCCCCGGATACAACCCTGCTAAGCCGCCTCCACTCCCAGTAGCTATTGAGAACTGTATTTGCGTGAGTCTTCTTATGTTTGCTTCACAAGGCTTCAGGTTTGCGTGACTTTGCTTTCTGTCCATCTGCAGAGGCCACCTTGATACCCGTCGTGAAGGAGCGCCTCGCCAGCATACAAGACGCACTACTCGCAGAAGCGACCGCGTTTAGGGAAAGGTGAGAATGAGCCCCGGATCGGACCCGGACGTTGCTGCGCTGTCGAAACCTCCAATAAGGGGGTCACCTCAATTCCAGTTGAAAGAGACCTTAGGACAGAAGGGGCAGCGCTTCTCGGATATAGCCGGGGCGTTCATCTCGACAATGGGAAACGGTTTGCGGTTCCATAGGGGATTGGACGGTGTTTCCTGCCGATTGAGACGTCGTTCTCTGCTGACTTGGGTTGCCGGATGCGTTGTCGGATGCAAAGCCCTCACTTTGTCTCACAATTGGAGGGTATCTGACACTTCGGCAACGGCTAGATCGAAGGATGGGGACCACTATGCCGCATGCTTGGAGTAAGGGCCGCAAGTATTTTATCTTTTCCATGCTTCGTTTCTCCGCCGTGCAGTAACATCGAGGATGTGAGCAGCTACGAAGACTTGAAGCGCGTGATTGCAGAGGGAAAGTGGGCGCGGGGGGGCTGGGCAGCTAGGTGAGATGGCTGGTTTCGTCATCGTTTCTCATTATTTCGCTCTCGTTACACTTTTCGCACAGAGATATCTTTGAGCTGGACATCAAGGACGGAAGACAAACGAGGAGGACAGGAGATTCCAGGCCCCGGGCCTGGCTATTCTAGTTCTTTGACGTACGGAATGTTAAGTGGAGGAAAGCTGTGGCAAGGTCGGCGTTAATGGAAGCTTCGTTTGGGCTTGTGGTTCGTGTGGACCGGTCTGAAGGGGACGCCGCGGAAACACCCTTTTGCGAAAAATCTCGTTTGTCCAGAATCAGAAATTTCATAAGAAGTCTGCTGCTTGCTTGATGAATGTCCCAATTTCACCTTCAAACTTGCATTCGTGCCTTTGAAAGACTCGTTTGGCTGCTTATCGACGAAGTCGACACACTGTGCCGCAAAACAAAGTCTCCTTTGTATGTAGCGACGCCGATGAAGCGAAGATTAAGGAGGAGACTAGTGCCACCATCCGGTGTTTCCCGTTTGACCAGCCCGAAGGCGGCAGAACATGCTTATGGACAGGGAAAGAGGGGGCGGAAGTAGCGCTGTTTGCTAAATCGTACTGAGTTCATGGGAGGCGCGCAAAGGTTAGGTACACGAAAACGGAATATAGTACACGTCGATTGCTCAATCTGCAAAAGTTTTCACTTCAAGTCGACGAGCTTGATTCCAATTGGCGAGGAGTTGGATTGTCAATGCTTACAAGGTTAGAATCAGGCTGTGCGCTATATGCATGTGATTCGTTGCTGTGTGCATGACTATGATTTCGGAGTACTGTAGTATACGAGGTTACGAGAACTGCCTCGTTGAACTAAGCCAAGTCATCAACAAGATCGACCGATCGTCACTAATGGAATGCAACAGACGCTCGCCTTCCTTGTAGGTAGGCATGCAATTTACCTAGCATGCGAAACGGGCTTCAGATTTGCAACACTCATCGATCACTCGGTATAATCCCGTGATGCAAGGCGGCAAAAATGATGAAGAAGGAGCTGCATGGTGGCATGAGATCGAGTTGGAGCCCCATGGTGGCATGAAATCGCACCAGATCGCATGGTGGCATGAGATCACCGGATCGCAGCCTGCCTACAGTCTCTGGTGCCCTCAGCTCGAAGATTGTTTTCCGTGACGTGCATTACTGGTACGGTTCGCGTCGTACAGCAGTTGTAGGTAATGGGTTTTGATTGGTCAAACTCGGCTGAAGCGCTGAAATGCGCTGTATGAGAGGCAGATGCCCGTACAGTAATAAATAATTTGAAATCTATGATTGGATTTCTCAGATCAACGGTATCAAGGCTCAAGCACGTAGCTTGGCCGCGATCTTGTTACGCGGCACGCTCAGATCGCGATACGTGGACGGTTTGCCCAACCGTCGATGACCTGGACAGCATATGGTCGTTTCGAACTTTGGATGGCTGAGAGCTGCTGGCAGAAGATCGGACGGTCGTAAGATGGTCTTGGTGGCGCCAAAAGCGTCAGCAGCGCCGCTTTCCACCTCGGACTGGCACGGGGTGACAGGTCACACCCAAAAGCTCATCATGCAACTTGCAAGCTGCTCTTCGTTCTTGCAGGCTTGCAATTCTGAAGCTATGCATGGGCAACTGTGCAGCAAATGTAGGAGGTGGTGAAGTGAAAGAGAAGGAGAAGCAGATCAGGGAGCCAGGAAGGAGGGGAAGCTTGGACGAGCTGCGATTTGCAGGAGTGCTTTGGAGTGGTTGCTGATTGAAGTGGTTGTTGTGATTGCTGCAGGCTGCAAAAGCAGATCAGGGAGAGCCAGCTGTGGAGCTTCTTAGGTTTGATCTTGGCGACCACTCTGGTGATCTACTGATAGTTCGATCAGCCAGAGTTGTCCTGAAAACATGGAGTGCACAGCAGCTGCAACAAGTCTCGGGGCCCCCCTTTCTTGCTTGGGAGGGGCGCAGTCAAGGAAGCTGGCTGCCCCATCACATGCATCATGGATCCTACCTGCATCTCTTAAGTCGTTCACCGGTACCCCTTTGAGCAGCTCAGCCCAGTCTCCAGCACTCCGATACAGATCAGGACAGAAGTCAGTTGTAGCAGTGATGGGAGGAGTGCCTCCCAGGCACTGCACCTTAAGAGAGTTTGGGGAAGGTGTTGACGATACTCAGCTTATGCTGAGACCAATCAGGGTCAGGGCTTCAAATGGAGGTGGAGAGGCTCCCCAGGCTACGGTCCTGGAGCTGATTGCAGCGAACGCTGAGGCGAGCGCGCAGGTGTCCAGTTTTGAGACAGTGGCGGGAAGGGCAGCGATGGTGGGTAGCAGGTCCTCTTGTTGATTGATCTGATTGCTTATGATCCTGGGAAGGATGTCTTAGCTTATGATTCCTGACAGGGGTCTGTGTGGATCTTATGATTTCCAGAATTCACTTAAAGTTACAAGCGGAATCTGCTAGGAGGCAATCTATTGTGCAGGGCGCTTCTATCATCTACAGTCAAATATGATCCGTGTAGACCGATCTTGATGGTTTGGTGGTTGATCTCTTCAGACGGCTTTGATGATGCCCATTGGTGTGATTCAAGTATGCTGTGTATTCTTGATCCAATCAGCTGTAATCTATGCATAGCTGTGATTTATGCACCTCAGATGCACCTCACTAGGCTGCTTTGTTGATTAAACCAACAACCTGCCATTCTGTCACAGTCTTCTTCGGCCATCCTTTGTCTTCCATTATTTTGCTTATCCTGATCCGATGCTCCCTGTCATTTGCTTGCCTTGCAGATGGGCTTTCTGATGGCCACAGTGGATGAGTCTGTGACTGGAACCAGCCTGTTCCAGGACATTAACGCGGACGCTCTTGTCCCCTTTTTGATGCTTCTGGCTGCGGTCTGCGCGGCAGCAGGGTCAGCGGCCTTGGCCTGGCGGGCATCGAACCATGTTGCTGGTATTCTGCAGAGGGGTTGTAGGAACATAGTGGACACTGCTGTTGACAATATCATCGAAGGGTTGTTCTTTGAGTCATCGGATGCTCAAGCTTGGGACTCCGAACAGAAGCAGGGCTAATGGGGGGGTTGTCCATGACCTGAACACAAGTAGAGGCTAGTGCGAGGGGTTTTGATCATTGGCCAGAACACTACCAGGGGTACAGGCAACGAGTTGGGGACTGTAAATAATTTTTTGTACAAAATAAATCCAGGTACAAGGTGTCAAACAGCTAGAGACTGCAGATCAGCTTTCGATTGTCAAGGTTGCAGCATATGCGTGCTAGAGTGTAGAGTACTGCAGATTATGTGCATAATAATTATGGTGACAAAGCAATCATTTAGATGCAGCTTGTGACAGTAGAGCCACAAAGGAGCAGATGTTGTCTACATAACATAGTTAGTCATTCGAACACTAAATTAGAGTAGAAGGCTTGGATTTGGCTTTGAGTGCACATTGCTTACTGTTTGAAAACAGCAAACCATCAGTCTGAGCAAAGCAGCTAATCAGCTGCAAAGTCTCTTGGGTTCTGCTTTCTCTGCTCAGTACCTGGGGTCAAGGATGCGAAGTTTCTTGATTTATTTTTTGTTCATGTCTTGGGCTCTCAGTCTTGGGTATTCAATTTTACATGTGCATATCATGGAGAATTCGCCCATCAATCAATCAAGTGATTGGGCCGCATTGCTAATCATGTCTAGGTAGGCGGAGACTTGCTTGATTTGTATACAGATCGGGGTATTCATGTATGTTGGTAGGCAAGAAATACCATGGGTTAGTTTGTATTGGTTATCCTGAACAATTTAATTTCGACTGCGTGGCAGCGTGATTGATAGTAGTACGTTTAAATATGGTTCTGGTGTAACATGCCAGCTTGCAACACCAATGGATTGCATTGAATCAATGAGTCAGAAACATCAACCCGTTCAGGTGCTTCGAGTGGATAGACAAGAGTCGATTTAAAGTATGTAAGATAGTTATGTATGCGGCACCCGTTACTTAGTATGATAATGTGGAATCAGTAAGCGCATCATTATGAGACTTGAATTTCTCAATGTTGAACGGAGAGCACATGCAGACCACAGTATCTATGTACATTTCTGATCCTCCTACAAGGTACACTTCTCAACTAGACGTTTCTTAGGAATCGTACCTTGGAAGCAATAACAAAACACAACTATCGCTAGCAGCCATCGGACTCAAAAGCTTACAGCCATGGGCGCGATTGAGATGCCAGGGGCGTTTGACGACCGTAACCTAGGCCCGTTGTCGGGCTTGCCCATGCCTGATGCTAGGTCGGCGTCAAGTTGCGTGTGTGGAGCTTCTTTTGCCAGAAGCTTTACCCTGAATGACAGCAAGTGCACAAAAACGTCAACCAGGAAGATCAACTAGAAAGAATCGGGCCATAAGATGGTTCACTGTTTGAAAACCACAGCTCTAGAGGACTGGTTCGCGTGTTCGAGAGTTCGAGTGCCATACTCAACAAGGCTTCCAAAAGCATTATGGTGGTCAATCTCAAAGTGAACTGTGCCCGGCAGAACATAAACGTACCTCCTTTTATGTGGCCGTGTTTCGTTGTGTTTCTCCCTTACATCAGCCGAAGAAAAGTGTCGACTGCAAGGACAAGAAAATTAAATCAGCCGATGAAAAGCGTCGACTGCAAGGACAACAGAACGGGTGACGAAAAGGCTTCTTCTTCTCGGAACACAAGGATGGAAATCATGAGTTCAGTTTAAGAAGCTCGAAACCCTTCGTGTTGCAGGTTTGAAACATAGTCAATTACATACTAAATGCGCAGCAGTGTTGAAGAAAAGGGCTTGCAAAATGCATTGTGATTTGAGAGATCAGTTGCTCCCCGTCTTCCTGACCCCCTTCTTTCAAATCTCTCAACGCAAGCAAGGCAAGTCTAAGCCCAAAGAGCCCCGAAGACCGTTGCAATCTAAACCTGATGCCCTTCCAGATCACCCTGTGGACTACACTTCACAATCCGTCATGCCCCTGCCAAGCTCGCTCACCCAAGCATTCGAAACTCATATTCTGAGTCCACAAATATTAGCACCCCATGCCCTACAATACCTGCAATCGGGCCCAAGCATTCTCAAAGATAGACAGCAAAAGCAAACCAACGATGAAAGTCAGTCACAGTGGGCAGAGTACCGCGCAAAGATGAACCCAGTGATAGTCTCACTCGCAAAGGAGGCAATAGTAAGCAAAATCAGCGATGAAACTTACTCGCAAGACAGCAACAGCGGGCATGGAATGAGGAAACCAGAAATGGCACTTACTCGCAGTGGACGCAGTAGTGCTGCCCCATACCCGGCAGGTCCTCGTCCTTGTCATGGGCAACCTTGGCGCCCGTGTCGGTCGCAGCTTTTAGGGCGTCATAGATCATATCGTCACGTGCAGTGGCGTCAAGGTGGGAAGCAGGGGAAAATAAAAGAGCGCACAAAAGCCAGCATTTGATGCAGGCCAAACGGAACATGAATGATGCCTTTGACAATGAAAGTCTGCTTCACTTTTGATCCACATGCCAGAATGGAATCTATTTGTCCTCCCCCAGAAGACCACCTTTCAAAGTGGTTCTAGCATCACGCTAACAGACATAGATGATTACGAACCCATTGGTAGCCTCTCAAAGTCGAAGTGATCAGCTTACAAAAGCTACCAAGAGCGGCTTTCATGTCGCACAAGAAAGCATTGTGACATCCAAGAACCAAATGGCAGGTAACAAGTAATCACAAGAGAGACAGCTTTGAAGGATATCTTTCCGCAGAAACTTCCCCCGGCTTGCTTGCTTGTGCAGTAACCCTTTCCCCCTCTTCCCTTTGTTTTTGTTGTTGGGACAACGCCCCATATTGACACTGCTGGCTTGCAACGCTCTGCCCTTTAGATTTTGGGATCAAGAAGGCTGGCAATAAACTCTGTTTCAAATTTGCGCGCCAAATGACGGGCGTTTTATGGCGGTGCAAGCGAAGCTATATAGGAGTTGATGAGGGTCCGTGCAACTTCTCAAAACTGGTGGTGGTACTTTTGATGGCTTCTCTTGCTGCCTTTCTACCAGTGGGCAACAGTGTAGAACGGTTTCACCCTGAAGGCTATGTCCAGACTAAGCAGTACGGAGTCAGACTGCTGGTCAACTCTCCATGGTAATGGTCTTTGACAGCGGTAAAGGTACTTGAAAGCCCTACCGTGGCCTACGTATGCAGGGGGATCCCGCTGGAGCGCGCTTTGCATGAAGTTTAGAGTGTGCGTGTGTTCTGCACCCGTTCTGCATCCAGGAGGTAGATATACGGCCATGAAAGAGCGCCTGATACAGTGGTAGAGAATATCCATGAGCTCATCGATTCGCTTGCATCTGCGAGGAAAAACTAGCAAGTAGGCCTCAAGATTGTCAAGCTGCCGCTCAGGTCCAACAGGATGGACGGTGCACAGGAGCCAACTCGCATGTCCGAAGCTGGCAGAGTTTAAGGTAGCGTGAGACAAACAGCGCGCAGGCGCCATTAGCTGATTGAGTAATTCATCCGCGCTGGTGCAAAGTATGACCCTTTTGTTTCTGCTTGATGGAGTTAGTGGCGGTGGCCAGTGCATCAATGGATCTGAAAGTTACTTAGATGTGTATGAAGGAAGGAGAAGTTGACCAAGAAGAATGCAAACAAGCGCAGCAACTCTGTGAGACCTAGAAGCACTGAGCTGCAAGAGGGGGAAGGGATTCAGAACGGCATAACATGGCGATATATGCCGCGGCAGCTGTTACAGTGTCGACTTGCCAGCGGGCACCCAGAATTTGCAGAAGCAGACTTCACTCTCTGCACAGCTCGTAAGCCACCCTGCTTTCTAAATGTGGTCCTTTGATAGGAAAGGCCCCATTATGACAATAAGTCCTTGCATGAGATTGAGCCCCAAGACTTGGACAGTTTTGCCAAGACTGATCCTCCTTGTCAGATGCTTCTCTTGCGCGGTTTATAACAGTCAGAGGTGCATTACCCTTAAACGGACCAGTATCCCCCTGGTGCAGCTCCTCTTGCTCCTGGTCAAAAGCGCACCGCGCGCCGCGCAAGCATACACGTCCAGTGACTCGAGACCGAGAGAGGGTCCAACAGCAGGCGGTCATTGTCATGCCGCCTGTGGCGCTTATAGTCCCTCTTTGGCCACTTGAGTGTTCTCCAGGTTGGTTAATCTTACAAAAAAGCCAATGCAATTTCGCGCAACATCAAGGACTTTCTAAAATCAGAGAAGGAAAGGTTGCGGGTTGCCGCTTGAATGTTTGCAACCAAACTTGAGCGGGGTCTCCCAGGTTTCTCCTGCCCCTTCCGGTCAACCTGCCAAGAAATTGCTTATTTTCGCGAAGGCTGCACTGTCGGGTCTTGGTCCGTAGCGGGGCCGACTGCGCGCCACATGTGTGCCCTGTGGTACCTTCGACCTGTCCTGAATGCACCCCTGGTCCGCATTTGCAAACGGCTCCGAATGACGGAAGCCCCGCCGTCGCGCTTAGACCTGATAGATCAGGAGATGCTTTGGCCAGACAAACCCGGAAGGTTTTCCTCCACCGACAGACAAAGCTATGTCGAATGTGCAACCAGGGCTTTTAACAATAAAGGCGCCATGTTCCTACAATAAAGGCGCCATGTTCCTATATGGCCCATGAAACAAGACCCTTGAAACAAGACTCCGTTGAAGGGGTGGACCTTGTCAAATGCCACGCGCAGGAGCAGGACAAGACTGCAAAGCGGTAGAACAAAGGTAAGGATTCAGGGCTGCACTGAGTCTGGCTGCTGGGTCTGGTGCGTAACTGAGTAATTGTGTTGTGTTGAGAAGAGTCCCGCCAAATGCCTGGACGCGGTTGCTGGGCTGACGGCTTTCAGGGCCTGGAGGATTGTGTTCACATGATAGCAAAGGAAGGAGTGGTCAAGGGATAATAACGACGGGGAAGGTAGGCGGGGGATCGAGGGAGACGGTGATTTACGGGCTGAGGCAACAAGGCTGCCGGGCAAGAAGCTTTCGGTTCAGAGAACTTGGAGGGTCCTTTCTGTTGCCAACTAAACTAGACGTGGTGATTGAAGCGACTGATCAGCTTGAAAATAACTTTGCAGAGGTACATCTTATGACTGCGAGGAAGGTTTGCAGCGGACGAGTTACTGCAGTTTGCAAGCGGAGGGCTCCGGCGGCCCTCGAAGCAACTGCTGCCTCTGCTGTATGTTGATCTGATGGTTTCGCTTCTTCAGGTCTGTCTGAGATGAGAATGTTAACGCCTGCTCAGAAGCAATCTTTCCTGACTAAAATTCGAGACCAAGTGTTTCGTTCTTCTTGTCGTTGCCAGGGAGGACTAGAAGGGGCGACGAGCTGCCAGGATACAACAAGCGCCGCCTGCGAAGTATTCTGTCAGGGGAGGCTAAGGCGCTTGGGCAGTCGGAGAGAGGGAGCGAAGTCTGGCTCCAAAGACGTTCCGCTCTTGCCCTCTGTAACGGGTTTCAACACATGCGAGCGCACATTAAAGGCCCTTGTTTTGATGGACACCAGTGTTTGAGGACCGCGTATTCTGTGTTAGTCAGTAGCTATCGGTTGTAAATTAACGAACATGTCGGTTGCATGGTCAAGCTGACATGGTGCTAGCTAGTACCTATCTTTCTGCACCGAAACTGAAGGACGGTAATGCAGAAATATGCGGCGAGAGGATCAGAACTGGTAGCTGCCTGATGTCACGACTCGCTTTCACTTCTCAATTGGGAATTTATGTTGCAGCGCAGAATCAGCTCAAATGACATGAGAGTCAAGGGCTAGGTTGCCAGCTTTCTTTACGGAAGCAATTGGAGCAACGTGCGGCGCATTGTATGGAACGTCGGAGCAGATTGAGTCTGAATCCCGGGCGCCCTGGCATGTGTGTGACCATGATTTAGATGCGGCATGGCACGCAATCGGTTGACAATATCAGTCAGTGCGAATAACCCATAGCTTCAGAGTAGTTCGTGACTCTCCTTATTAAGTGCCTGTCATGTCATAGGTATCTCAACGTACGCTTTGCTATACCCGGTGCACTTGCGGATGATTGATTGGATGCATGCCTATACTCCCATGAGTCCAAATTTGAAGGCAGTACGTTGAATCAAGGGCGGCGGCCCATGCAGTTTCAAATTCAGTCGATCGTATGTCACTGACTCGGCGGGCCAGCTGCTGAATAATTTCTGCTTGTAATGGAATTGCACATGTCCAGTATCTTGTGCCGGAGCTCGATTCTTTAAGCTTTAGGGCCTTTCGCGCGTCGACTTTTTGTCATTCTTCATGTCTTCATCTCACTCGTCAATCATGGGCGCTTCAACTGACCGCTCTCCTAAGACCTTGATTCCAACTTGCTAGCATGGCGCGCGGGGGCTCGAAGACCCTCACGGAAATTGCGCCCTGCATGTATTCCCGTATAAGCGGTTTGTGAGAGCCATGAAATAAACGCTCCACTAGTTGCGACATTGCATTCAACCCGAGCAATCTCCGCGCATACAATAAATCTACAGAGCATTCCCATCTTAAGCGATTTCTGGGGTCTCATAGCATGAATCAATATGAAGGCATGTTCCATCACTGGTGTATATGCAAGGTCCGCTTGTGAAGTGATATTGCTTAGAAAGCTTGAGACCTTCAAAAGATCCGACGTCGCTGGATTCTATCCTGATTCTATCCGATCCCGGAATCATGAGTGACTTCGTTAGCTTATATAGCCCTGCCAGATCTTGATCGGGTCACTAAGTTGTCACCAAACTTATTGCCAATTCCTGTGCACTTCTACTACCTTTCTATTTCTGCACTGACAAGCCTGCATTGACCGCGGGACGGGCCCTCGACGGGCCCAGGCTCTTTCAGTACGTCCGCCAGACTTGCCCCGTACCATGAGAAACCTATGTTCGAATTCCATCAACGGATATATATTGTGGCGTTCTTATACTAGGAAGGTTCTGGACACTTCATTTCCCGTTCGCCACACCATCATTTCTTCTTCTCACTCTCAGCCTATTCGCGTCTGCCGGTCTGCAAAGTTGTTCCAGCTTCTGGAACTCGAGCTGGCTCGTCATCACCTGGATTCACCAAGGGTCTAGCCGATCTTGCGCTCGCCGGGCGCCGTTTCATCTCTCCCGCTTCCTTCGCTCGGGTATCCCCGCACGCACATCCACGGCGCCGGGGGCAGCTTTTGCGGCCTTCGGAACCCCCTGCCGCAGCTCCAAGGGTTCCTCACCCCTCTGGAAAACCGCTGGCTCCGGAACGCCATCGAAAACCGTCGTGGTGGTAAACGCTTCCGCAACGTCACCGCCGCCTCTAGTTCCTCACTCCCTCTCGCTTTCCTCTTCTTGTTTGCACCTTCCAGCCAGTCCGCACCCGGGCCCCTCTTTCGTTCGTTCCTTGCGGGGGAGACCGTGGCGAGAATCGCCTTTCGCAGTGAAGAACTCGTCCTCTGCTGGGGCCCTGAAATAGTGCGTTGCAGAATCGCCTTTTGCAGCGAAGAAATCGTCCTCTGCTGCTCTGAAATCGCGCGTTTCAGAATCGCCATTCGCAGTGGAAAAATCGTCCTCTGCTGCTCTGCTATCGTGCGTTGCAGTGTCGCGATCGCGACGTGGGCCTTGTTGGCCGACGTGTGGGCTTCCGCGATCTCGCCTTCCAGCCTGTTCCTCAGCGACTCGTAGAGGCCCCGGGCCTCCCGCTCGGGTTTCTCGACTGCCGCCTTCCGCGCCGACTCGTGAGCCTTTGACAATCTGCAAGATTTGGACTACACGCTCAAGTTTTTGGTCTCCGCTTGCACAGGTTTGATTGCAGCTCTTCGGGACACGTCAGACTGATTCCAATGACGGTCGATGGTTGTTGGGAGACCGTGGCTGTGTTGTAAGCTAACGGGTTTTTGACTTCCTTGTAAGAGCGCACGCACAAGTATGTTGCCGGCTTATATTGAATTTAGGTACTCGACTGTGGTCTACAGGGTATACCGTTGTTGGATCACAAGAGCCCAATGAACAGCAAGAATGCGTTCCACTGACGCGGCCGGGCCGAAAGTGGAAGGAAAAAGTCGGCAGCCCAATGAGAATCTGTTAGCTGGGCAGAATCAGGCGCTTTGGAGCTGACGTAAGTCTCAAGACGTGACGAGTTCACAAAATCAACCTTCGCCGCTTATAGATCTAGTGTGCTCGGAATCATTGAGAACGTTCAAAGTCGCCAGCACAGCTGCGCCGCTGGCTCCAAGAATCAACGACCCTCACGAATCAAAACCCTTGCAAGCCAGCACTGACAATCATCGTAATTTGTTCGGCGACTCACTCCGTCTGTTGGTCAATTTCCCGTTGCAGCGCCTCCTTCGCCTCATTTGATTCCGCTCGCAGCTTCTCCAATTCCGCCCTGAGACCAGCGGACACTTCTTCCGCCTCATCCTTCTGGCGCTCGAGTTTGATCTTCCCGGCCTCTGCTAATTCTCTGTTGTCCACCTCGAGTTCCGCGATCCTCGCAGCAAGCTCCATTCTCTCCGCCTCAGACCGTTCCTTTTCCGCCTCTCTTTCCGCTTCCGCTTCCGCCCTTGCCGTTCTTAGCTCCGTGCTTTCCGCCGTTAGGTTCTCTTTCTCCGCCTCTAGCGTCCTGTTTCTCGCCTCCAATCTAGCCACATCCTCAACTTCAATGCCCAGCGTTAGTGACGTCAGCAGCCCGTCAGCGGGCGCGAGCGCATCGTCGGTGACGATCGCCTGCGGCGGGAGGCGGGGCGACGCCGGTCTGACGGCAGGAGCGGCGATTCTGTCGTCAGCAGATGGCGATTTCACCATGTGTGCTTGATTCTTCTTACCTTCTGTTTGCTGGATAATCAGGGACACGCATTGGTACCACCGGTCGACGAAGTAATACTCGTCAATGCTCCTCTTAGTCCACCTAAGAGCGTCAGGATTGAGGCACCCAAGAGGCACCAGCTCTGCGGATAAGAAAGACGATATTGACAAATATTATCGTCAATGGTCGGAAATTCGCAGGTCGAAGGGGCGCCCCTTGTTCGACCTACTCTGAGTACTGGGCGTAGGCCACTTTACTGGCGGCACTATCTCCAAAACCGTCTCTTACTGCGGATGAGAACAGCAAAGCTTGTGCAGGACCCCTAGGTACTACTATGTCACGCTGTCAGCTTCAAAAACGTCACTACCGGTCAAAAACGTTACTACGGCACTCCAACCTAGACCGTGCGCTCAAGGAGATTCTTAACCCAGACGGTAGAACGAAGTCACTTACCCGTCTCGCAAACGTTGTAGAACGGAGACTCCGCTGAGGGCCTATGGAATACTGGGCTCCGGGCGGAACTACGTATACAACCTCCGTCAACTTGATTCGGGCTTTCGTATTCACAATGATTTCGTCCTCGTCAGAAGGACGCCCGTCCGATTTCTCCGATTCGCACCCCTTCGAGTCGTCCGATCCAATGTAACCTTCAAACTTTCTGTCGCCCCAGTAAGCGGTGACTGGCGGCCTCCCAGCCTCTGTCTTGGCCTCTGTCTTTCCCTGACCTCTGACTTTGCGAGCCTCCCCAGATAGATCTTGAGTTCAGTGGAATGGCGTGACTGCAAAGAGAGGGGCTGGCTTTAAGAAAAGAACTTGAAACAAGGACTCAAGACGAGAGGACACCGAAGAGCTCGCAAGTGGCCGAAGAGCTCGCAAGTGGCCGTACGCTGAAGTTTTCGACTAGTGTATAAGCAGACGGAGGACAGTGGGACTATATCGCTGCACGGGCGTGTCTTTAACGTCAGAGGGACAAACTTTCTCACCACGATATGCGCTTGCATCCTGACAGACCGGAATGATCGCTCCTCGTTGAGCCAGACCCTAGTTGATTCCTTTGACCTAAGATGTGACCGTCTATCAGATCCTCAAACACTAAGAAGAGGTCAACGCCATGATCAGCGGCATTCAGCACCTGTACATATCTTTCCTTTGTACTCACCTTGGCCAAAGCTTGCCCCAAGACATGAACCGCGGTCTTGTCCCGTCCTTCCAGCTTGTTAAACAAAAGGTTCTTCTCACTGTCTCTGCGTCGAAGAGGCATCACTAGCTTCGACGGGCCATGTGGGTCCCGAACCCACGCCGTAACTGACTCTACGACGTCCTCAACAACCCCCTTTCTCGTCAGGCAAGAGTCTGCGCCGTCTCGTTCTCTCGTCAGAGCGCTTAGGAGGCGCGCCCTGTAGTCAGTCCTTTGGGATCCCCCTGCCATTTGCAGAACTCTTTGCTGCACGAAAAGAGTTCAGATTCTCGGTTTACAGTGCAAAGTGGGGAAGAAAAACATATGACACACTAGTGTATGCTTCAGCAAGCGGGCGCCTTCAGCCGACCTTCGTATAAGAACCACTTCGTCTTCCCGAAGTTTTGTTCCTCGAGCTTTAAATCCAATTCTCTGGGCCTTTGCTGCACTTCTGTGCAAGTAATGGAGTGAACTTTCACGAATCGGCAGCAGCTGCCAGTACTGCTCGAGCTCTTTCCGTGAACGCGACTTAGACGTGACTAGGATGTGAAAAACTCCACCTGAGGTCTCAGGCAATCATGACACGCACTCAGCGTTGGATGTGACTACAATGATTGGTGCCGCTCGAGATACACGAGGCCGACCTTTTCGAGCAACGCATTCCGATTCCTCCACAAATTTGGAAATTGGGTCTTCTTCTGAAAGTCTGACCCGTACGGCTGTCGGAGCTAGGGGCCGAGGACGCTTCACCTTCCGTTAGAAGGAGAACGTTGACTTGTAACCTGTGGGCGCTGGTCAGTGTGGCGGGGTAGCATATGAAGCAGAATAAAAGTGACTCGTAGTTCAGACGCAAAGACGATCGAGGATAACGGCACGTGACGTGACTAGAACTTTTGTATGAACAGTTGATAAGTTTAGAACGGCTGGTTTTGCCCAGTCGGACGACATCGATTATGCAGCCTTGCAGCGGCAGGCAGTGCAGGCATGGCTTGTCAAATTTGACCGGCAGGCTCAAGCCCTACATTGAACGACTGGAACTTACATGCAATTTGCCAATCAACTCAATACGGACGATTGTGACGGTACAGATCGTGTACCAGTTCCGCATTGGGTACTTCATGGCATGCCGATTCCTGGCAGGCCCCCGCGCGCGGAACATGGGGGTACGGTGGCCGGCTGACATATACCGTATCGAAGTAAGCTCGATATGCCCTCTCAGGTTCTCCCATCTGCTTCTCTAATTCTCCAAATGGAGTATTTGTCAATGCGCGCGTGACACGCACGCCTCGCGCACGGCGGGATCGCTTTGTGGACATGCAAAATGGACGACTCTCAGTGGGATTTAAATCGGGATGCGTAGGAAGGTATTGCTTTCGCTCTGAGGCCGCGTATGTTTATCCATCATCGACCTCGACTTTGCAGTGTTCCGATGACGACGGAACACAGAGGGTGACTGGACAAAAGCTCTATACTTCAGGTCTCCCTATCGCGAGTTTTAACCAACTAGTGACGGTCGACCGAGTCTTTTTCTTATTTTCGTTTAGCAGATGTTTGGGGCCCTTTTGCACTTGGATTGTCAATTGGATCAAACCTGGGCCCAGTTGCAGAGCTTGTCGACCCTGCAAAACGCTGCTCCACATAAAAGTGTAGAAGCACGCATTCAAAACTTCCGAGCGTGACCCGTACCTTTATCAGTCAGTCATCGATATCGTATATTGTGGCGTGCAAAATCTTTCAACAGTACACTGATTTGGATGTGAACGGTTCCACCTGCTCGTGTCCGTAACCGAAAGCGGTCTCCACTATTGTAGACCGTTTCTTCTACTTTCAAACGAGGTCCACCGCCAATGAAAAACGCTGCACAAGAGTCGATGGTTCTGTCAGCATCTTTGAAAATCGTCCACCGGAATAGTCGGCTTATAACCTCAACCTTCTGACAAAGGAAAATTCTCACACTTGATAGTATTTCAGCAACCGTCCATCCATGAACGATCATTTCTGACCGCCACAATTGCTCGTTTCCTGGGATTCGGTCATAAGCGTAGACTTTGTCAATCTTGCAGGTTTTGGAACGGCTAAGGGCGGCTTCGAAGCTGGATCCGCAATTTCGGGTTGTAGATCACTACAAGCGTGTTCGAGATCTGCCAACCCTCTTTTAAAAATGACCAGTTAATACCGCAGGCTTTCTGCAAGAAACCGGAATAACATAACACTCAACCTTGTCATGAAAGGGGGACGGACTCTTCCACCGAAGACTAACTCTCATATGGAGCCTTTTTTCCCCTTAGAAATGTATCGTTCCCTAGTGGCCACACAATACGAGAGTTCCTGTCCTGCATGGACGAACCTGTCGAAGCATGGACGTACTTCTTTTTGTCTTATGCCACTTTCAAGGCTTCGTCTTGACGAATTCGTTTCCTAGGAACGAATCAGTAAAACAGAACCGATTTTGCACCTAGAGCCACCGATCCCGTACCTGATATTCGCTCCAGCACTGAGCCCTCAGGTAACCACGTGACACAGTCGAGGTCGAAACAGCCAGCTTCCGTTGGTACATGACAAAAGCCATAGCCGCCTGGAGAAAATGGAGAATCAGATCTACTGTTGGAGGACGAAGGACCTCGTTCAGCACAGAAAGAGAGGTCTGTGCATTCTGCGCAGTCTGAACAAGCAGCTACACCATTGGGTAAGCGTCCTCCGACCTTCATCGTTCTTTCTTTTAAGCGAAGCTAAATCCACTGGATAAGGACAATCCAAGAGTTTCAGGACTCCAAAGCTGGCTCCCCTATTTCCATCTGGAGCTGATTGCGTCCAAAATGAAGAGAGTCCGAACCTTGCGCTTGATGAAGAGGACTCGAGTCCGTGTCCACATGTCGTTCAACACGGCAAGAACATGGGATGTGGGCTTCCTTTTCGCTGACTGAGAAAGCTCAGGAAAAAACAGTTTCTTTGAAATTGAAGAGCGTCTGACTCACAAATGTCATTCCGCCCATGTATGTCCTGGTGCCAGACTTGGAAGTACAGCTTGGGCCAGCCGCTCAGGCCGCGGCAAGCGTAGTGGACATCAATGGGGTGGGACCAGACCGCATCTTCGCCCTCCTAAAGGAACACAGAAGCACATCAAAAGATTAAGCGACTCGAAGATCAGAATCTGTCGGATGCCAGCTGTGACCAAGCTCTGAATGTGGTTTTCAATGCTGCCTACTGTCGTAAGGCTCATAGCCTAGTGGCTTGTCTTGACAGCAGGCTTTCATGCTGGCTATACTGGGCGAGAAAGGCTTCATACTTTTTGAGTAAAGCACACTGTTCTTGGACTGTCCTTCACATACTCCTTCACTGGAGGGGATGAGGTTCCAGGGGGAAACAAAGTCCAGTTGAGGGCCAGAATGAGAGAGCTTTGAAGAAAAAGTATGACAGCTGCCCTTGGCACAGACTTGACCTTGTGGCTCATGCTTGCCCAGCTCACGTTCCATGTTTACGATCTTCCTCATCCTTTTCAAGCTTCTTCCTCAAAGCTCTATTTTGAGGGGCTTGCAATGATCACATGAGCTCAACAAAGTGTCCTCATAGAAAGTGGCAAGTCCCCAGCTCTGGCTGCCATGAAGTGGTAACAAGATACTCCAGATATTGCCTCACCGGAGGGTGGTCCACTTGTGTCTGCCCTTGATCCGTCCCTTCAAGGAGGTCCCAATTCGAGCCAGCCACAATGCCCCACTTGCAAAACACGTTTCGATCTTTGAACCCTTCTGCTCCCAGAATCTGCCCAATGATGTGAACTTCTGCCATTCCTCTCTTGTGAAGTCGAAATCAGCTCATGATGCCGATTGAGCTAAGGGCTGAAGTTTTTTCCCTGGGATTGTTTTGGCCTCCCGACCTCAACAACGGGAATCCTGCTCGCCAGCTGACTCAAGCCTTCTCAGCTGCGTGCAGAGAAAGTTGAGTGGCAGCTGACCAGACAACCTGGCAGAACAAGGAGGATGAGCGCCCTATTACCTATTATGCCTCATGCGAGTCAGCAATCAGAGCCAACCCTAATTCTGACTTGGACTCGGAGTCGGAGCCAGTCGAAGCTGGCAGCCTGAGCAAGACTGCGCCGCCAAATTTGAAAGCAATATGCGATATATTCATACGTAAATTGCCTCGCACCAACAAAGGAATAATGTCCTATCATGAACATTCCAACTCCATTTAGAGATCGAGTGGTGGGTGTTTCAGTCTTGAAGCGACTGTGATCGCCTGTGATCGCCTCTGGTGATATTGGCCCTGTAATCTCCATTCTAGCTCCGTATGATCCGAAACAGAGCCAAAATTTCGCAGAGGTCATGAAAAGTCTGGAAATGCACACATTGACAACGACTCGGATGCACCTTGGCCAAAGCTGAGCTGCCACTTTGACCGAGGAGGCTTTGAAAGGGCAGTTCCCTGCTGTCAACAGCTGCCATCCTCTGCCAGTGCAGGCGCCAGGACGCCCTGGGTTGGCGTGCCTTTTGTGATCAGCTGGCTGCTCAAGCAAATGCTTTCTGCTGAAATTAGAAGATACTGATTGCGAGAAGCTGCCGCTGCGCCTGCAAGCGGAGGCTCGGAAGGGATAGGGTGCTCGCAAAGATGTACAGCAATTTCAAAGAACAGGCGATCGAGTACGTGAAGCAGGCGGTAGCGGCCGACAATGCAGGGGAGTACGCCAAGGCATTCCCTCTGTACATGAACGCTCTTGAGTACTTTAAAACACACCTCAAGTACGAGAAGAATCCCAAGATCAAGGAGGCGATCACTCAGAAATTCACAGAGTACCTACGGCGGGCAGAGGAGATCAGGCAGACGCTGGACGGGGGAACAACCAAGGGACCCCCCGCGAATGGGGACGCTGCAGTTGCGGTTAAGCCGAACAAGTCGGCGTCGAAGGATGGAAAGGACGAGGAGGATGCAGACACAAAGAAATTGCGGGGCAACCTTACGGGTGCAATTGTAACAGAGAAGCCGAATGTGAAGTGGGATGATGTGGCCGGGCTGGAGTCAGCAAAGCAGGCATTGCAGGAGGCAGTCATCCTTCCAGTCAAGTTCCCGCAATTCTTCACAGGTGAGCGGCAAGCTGACTTCTGGGTGTCTTGGGTTTTCTTTGGAGTCGAGGTTTTGTTTGATGAATAAAGCTCGAAAATGAAGAAGCAGGAAAGGAAATGTGTCACCTGCCATTGAGAAGAATTGCTGGTGGGGTTGGAAGCACTTAGGAGCTGCTCATCCGCGTAGAGGCTCAGCTACTGTAGGACAATTCAGGTCAGCACACCAGAAGATGAAATCAGTTCTGCTCGGGCTTATTTTCGTCCTTTTGGGAGGAGTCCATGATGCACCTGTGAATTTTGATGTTTCCTGCCGGACAGGTAAAGTGGATTCTAAGTCTTGATGGCGCGATGCAGGATGGAATTATTTCTTTCTTTGCAATCCTTGAGGTGATGTATGTTTCTGAGATCTGCCAATCTGGTCTAGGGTTTTGAGCCCCCTAGTGGTGCTCCTGTACACTCCACTTGGTCGTGATGCCTGGGAAGGTGGAAGAGTCTGAAGAGTGGATTGTGGGGCTCTGGTTGTCGTTTTTTGTCTGATGCTGGTTGCCCCTACTTTGCGATGGTGCTTCTTTGGTTGTTGCAGCCCTTTTAGCTCCTGATCCCCTTGGATCACTGTGGATCCAAAAGTCCTACTGAGCACCTGCTTTTGCCCCATCAATCCCGTCATACCAATTGCTGCAGCTGAATTTTCGCATCTCTTTGTGCACAGGAAAACGAAAACCCTGGCGAGGGTTCCTCCTCTATGGCCCGCCAGGGACCGGAAAGTCATACCTTGCAAAGGCAGTCGCTACTGAAGCAGACTCCACTTTCTTCAGGTGCGCTTTTCATGCCCATCAGCAGTAGTCTTTCAAGATCCATTATTCTCTCTGAGATATATCGAGGGCACTGTGTGAGTAATAAATTTGCAAGGAGACCCATCGATCTGGATAAGACAATCAGTGGGTGGCCAGCGAAGGACCCCGCTGCCTGCCTCTTCTCAAGAATTTGGTTGGTCTTCAGCAGCTCATGCTCGTCAGACCTGCTGAAACGTGCTTCGCTGGTTGCCGTTTATGCTCTCAGAGATCTGTAAAGCTTGCCCCTTGTAACAACCTGAGTCATCGATCGAAGCGGCCAAATGCGAGTGCGAGTTTGAAAAGCACAACCAGGCTTATGCTCAAAACTCCTCATTGGGACTCTCGGCAACATGTCTGTTCCGAACCTAGTGTTTAGTTGGATATATCTGACACTCAAAGCTATAATTGCCGTGCAGCATATCCTCCTCTGACCTGGTGTCAAAGTGGATGGGCGAGAGCGAGAAGCTGGTGGCGCAGCTGTTCCAGATGGCCCGCGAGAACGCCCCCTCCATCATCTTCATCGACGAGATCGACTCGCTGGTGGGCCAGCGGGGGGAGAACTCGGAGAGCGAGGCGTCGCGCAGGATAAAGACCGAGTTCCTCGTGCAAATGCAGGTCAGTGTGTCGGGCTTCCTGTGGATTAACGAGTTGAGGCCAACGTCGGTGCTTGAGTCTCTGGTCCAAAGACAGGTCGGATTGGCGCCGCTTCATAGACTGGTTCATTATGGAATAGACGACGAAGGCTGATGTTGATGTTCGAGTTTTTGCTTTGGAAGATCGCTCCGATTTGGAACATATCTCGGAGCGGCCCCTTATTTGGGAGATGGGGATCTGGATTGCATGTTGCAGTCTGCAGGGTCGAAAGCTCAAGCACAAGGTTCCTTGTTTCTATTCCTAACAAGACGTGCCCGACAAAGCAGTCTTGTTCTTTTAGCCTGTGCTCACGTGCACCAAGTTCGGCTTCTGTATTTGATCAGATTGGGTTCATGATGCGCACATTAGGCACAGCATCGTAGCACCACCCTGCAGTGGCTTGTCCACTTCACCCTCAGAGGCGCAGGAATGCTTGTCTTGCGTTTTCCGAATCATTGTGCTTCTATCGAATCTGCTGCTTTCCGTTGGAAAGTGACCTGTGTCTATTTTTCGGTGCAATCGCATCGCAACCCCTGCTCATTTGTCGAATTGATCTACGTAGCCACAGGCTACCGCTTCAAAGGGTTACTGCAAGCAACCATTTGAGGGTGTAGTTGGCATTGTTAACTTGCCTTGCAACTGTGCAGAAAGACTGGTCCTCCGCCCGTCCAGGTGGTCAAAAGGCCCCAGCCGACTGGGTTGGTTTCGATGTTCCGTTCTCAGTTGATAGTCGTGCGCTTGGCCTAGTTACAGGACTCAATAGCTGTCTGGTCAAAGTCCTGCTACTTTCCTACTCACGTGAAGTTTGTGATTTTGGGGACTCTTGAAACTTTTGAGCCGTTCTTTCGCTGTTGCGGCCCTGTCCACCTGTTTTGAGGGGCATCTCAGCCTCACTTCGGGTCGGCTGAAGGTCTGTCGCCTTGGGAGACCTGGGTAACCCTTGTGCGTAGGATACATGCCCATGATTCTGACAATCTTGGTCAGTGCTTAAGGGACCACACAAATGCCCACTGTCCGCTTTTACTGCCCCTCCTCAAGTTCTGGTCGGTGTCCCCACCACATCCGGTCTTGAGCGTTCTGCCCTTTCGTTTGTCCACGTCAGGTGTTAATTGTATTGAGTCAAACGAATTTCCGGTCCTGTTTGCATTGATCACCTCTGTAACGATTTGAAGTTGGCGCTGACGTCTTGGTTGACTGTGCGCTGCAGGGGGTGGGACACGACGATAACAAGGTGCTGGTGCTCGCAGCAACGAACACGCCCTACTCGTTAGATCAGGTGAGAGTCCGTTGTTAGCGTACTGGGGCATTCGAACGATGTGAGAAGAAGCAAAGATTGGCCGTGATGCAGAAGTCCCATAGCGCTTTTACAAGTTGATTCCAGGTCAGGAAAGAACTAAGGGATTGCTGACTTGACGGCGCCGCGATTCGTCTTTTTCAACATTTTAGCTCGCCATGCCGCCCACGGCACTGAGAGGTTCGCCGCAATCTTAATATACTTTGCAAGAGCTTTGACTTTGGCGATGGTGGTCGTGCAGGCTGTTAGAAGGCGTTTCGATAAGCGGATCTACATCCCGCTGCCTGACCCTAAGGCTAGGAAACACATGTTCAAGGTGAGCTCCGTTTGTTCTTTGGAGTTGCGTTCTAAGCCTTGGTCGAATGGCAAGTTGCTTCGTCGGCTCGACAAGATTGCCTTGTCGCGCGTTTGGTTGCTTGAGTCGTGCTACCTTGTCTTGGCTTGCCGGGCCTCACGGAGCGATAATCTAAACGGGTGTTGACAGCTCCTAAACGACGGCGGCAGCTAACTGTTTCTGCAATTTCCAAAGTGTCGAGAAAGGAAAGTTTTTCCAGACAGCGAAAGCCTCGAAAGAAGTTAGAGAAGCCGCTTTCCTTGTACGCAGGTCCACCTAGGCGACACCCCCCACAACCTCACCGACCAGGACTTCGACGACCTTGCGGCGCAATCGGAGGGCTACTCGGGGTCTGACGTCAGCGTTGCGGTGAGCCTCCGTTCCGGACTTGTTGTGCTCGCTGCGGGCCTCCGTGCCTTTTCTATGGATGTTTGTTCTGGAGACATCGCGGCGGACCTGACATGCCAGTTGGATGCAGTCAGAGAGGAGTTCGGGTGGTAGGTCGAAGGGGTCAAGAATCCAATAAGTGCAATCGAGCATTATGTAGTTGCAGGAAGTCGACTTAGACCTGTGCTCTAATCGAGTCGGTCTACCACACGAGTCGGACCGGCGGCTTTTGAAAACTTTTGCGGGGTCGGTCTGCCACAGTTTGGCACCGCTCACGACATGACGATCTAATCTGACAACCAGTCGACATATGCGACTGCCCCAACGGTGGTTTGGAACGTTGGTATTAACGGCTTCTAAGGTGAACTGACACTCAATGATGCGGTGAACTAGTATCATTTTTCCAGCAATCAACGAATATTGTCTGTGTAAGCGTTCTGGTCCTAATGAAAGCGATGCTGTTAGCGAACTTGTCGGCTCGTCTGGCCGAACGTCTGGACGAACTTTCAGAGATTGGCACTCGCCCTTGAGTGCTCGCTTTAAGCTGCTCGCGCTTCCTTCTTCTTAGGTGCAAGCGGTCTTTTCAACTCAAATCCGTATCGAAGTCCTGTGCGGGAGTCTTTGGACCTTCTGTCTGAACTTGTGTACCTGTTTTATCCAGCGCATGCCAAAGCGGCGTACTTTAAGCCGGAAGTTCAGTTGATTGCTTTTGTTCGGCCTTCCATATCACGCTTTGGCGCGCTTCACTCCAGGCCAAGGGGCTGGCGTCCGTGCCAGTGGCATACTTTCGATTGTCTTACCTTTTTCCTTATCCCGAGTCACGCTTGGCGTGCTCCTCTTTAGGCGAAAGACGGTTTTGTTCCGAGCCAAAGTAGAAGCTCCTGCCAGCGTTGGGCAAATCTAACTTGTCGTCCGTTTCTACTTGGACATCTGTGCTCAAGTGGAGGCGGTGTTACTGGAGCCGGAGTAGCACCCTCTTCTAGTTTCGGATGACCGTCAAGAGGGCGTCGGAGGACCGGTCCTCTCTCAGGCGACCGATGTGCCATCCATCAGGACCAGCTTGGTCGCCGAAGGCAATCTCGAAGATGGATTCTGAGCCGTCAGATGATTTCTTCTCTCAGGACTCAGATGCACGGGTGTACCTCGAATATTGACGGCCTCTTCATCCTTGTATTCGATTCTCAGGTGAAGGCGGTGTTGTTCGAGCCGGTGCGGAAGACGCAGGAGGCGCGGTATTTCCGGATACTGCGGGGCAAGGACGGGAAGGAGCTGTACGAGGCGTGCTCGCCCGCGTTCCCGGGGCCCAAGGTCGAGACCACGCTGGAAGACCTCGCCAAGAACGGAAAGGCCTCGCAGGTGAGAGGGAAAACCTTTGCGAGCCCTTTTCAGATTGTGGCATGCAGCGACGTCTTGGTGTGCGAAGTGGTCTGAGATTTGTGGCATGCCACGTCCTCTCTGCAGGCGAGGGGTTCTTGGAGTGTTAGTGTGTGAACTTGTTCTTTTGTGACTGGTCGTGGTGGAGCTTGCAGGAAAAAGGAATGAGCTCTGCGAAAAGGAATTGAAGCATCCCTTGGACAAAGGGCGACCTTTTCCTAGGTTCCTCTGGTGTTCCTGGGATATGCTCGTTCTCGTTGACGCTGGGAAGAGACTTTCTCGTTTGAAGAAGTGCTAAGGGCACAGCGGATGAGCGCAAACTTGACTGCCTTTCGACGTCAGAACGGAAGCATTGATGTCCTTAGCAACGCTGTGCGGGTCTTAATAGATGCAGGCAGCCCGTCTTTAAAGAGCTGCCAAGGAATTCTGGTTCACGCGTATCTCCTATATAGCTTTCGTTGGATTGAGATCTAAGCAGAAATGCTTTGTGTTTGAGAAAGTGCTCGGTGTCGCATTGAGATGCTCTACTGCCAGACATCATGATTTTCTTGAGCCCTTCTACCAGGAGGCATGTAGCGTTCTGACCCGCTTCTTTTTTGAACAGATTTCGGTGCCGGCCATCAACAAAGCCGACTTCGTGAAGGTGCTCTCACGGCAAAGGCCAACCGTCAGTCTCAAGGACCTGGAAATCCACGAACAGTTCACCAAAGAGTTTGGAGAAGAAGGATAGCACGGGGGTTCCTACCAATTGTACAGCGGCGCATACCAACCAGGATACCACTCGGCTCCAACAAACTGCAATCTTCCAGGCCCTTGGCGGGTTCACATGTTGTGAAATTCTCAACTATCCCATGGTCATGTTCCTCGAGCAATATACTGTGGCATGGCCATAAATGGACCGATTCTATATGTGCGGCGGCGTTGGCACCGCGCGGGTTTGAGGACTTGGTCTGCGGATATTGCGATTCAATTACCTACATGTACGTGGTGGATTATTTCCAGAGGCATGCTTTCACACGGTCATGCAGCGCATCAGATCATCATACTTTCGTAATTGTGGATGCTCGTTGTTTTGCAGTCGTCTCAGGGCATGTGCCCCCGTCGTTTAGGTAACATGCTCTTCCGCCATTGAGTTAGCATTCCGCTCAAAACACCATGGAAAATCTTGTCGATATCATGTAGGTACATAAAATATGCAAACCCCAAATCACCAAGAATGCGGGTAATTGCACTTGGCAACGACGTATCATGCCGCATAGCTTATCCACATTTGTATGCTTAGTGCCGGCCCGGCCGCAGGAGCAAGTATGCAATCAAGCGGGGAGACACTACTCATTACAGCCCCTGCACACTTTGCTAAACAGGTGCCATGCCCACTAATTGAAATTGATAGTATGCTGAAGCAATCAATAGAACATGTGATGACAGTCAGAATAAAAACACCTCTGGTTCAGACATGCTCCACTTCTCCCTTGTATGCTGGCCTTGTAAGCCTATGGGATCTACTCTGTGACCAGACCCATTGACCAGACACCTTTGAGAAAAAAACAGCACAATATAACTAGGAAGACCAGTGATCTGCGAAGATTAGATTACTGATCCCAATAGCACAAGATTTGATCTAACCAAGTGCGGAAAACACGGCATCAACAGACATACAGAACAGTCTAAGTGTCTCATGCAGAATTGCCGCAGATCTCAAGCTCGATAGAGAGACTGGAACTTTCAATGACCAGTGGGGCTTTGCCTTCAATTAACCAAGCCAAGTCATTGAGGCGCATTTCAACACCCACTGCAAGAGTGCTGCCACAAGCGCAATGGTGCAGACCTGGTCACGCCAAACCTTCAACTTTCTTTTTACAAAACCAGAATACTGGAGATAACTTTGCAGTAGTGCATTGGCCTGCCCTGCCCCGCCAGACTTTACAATAGATCTCCTGCTTCGAGACAAATGAACCGCAAGGGTACAAAACTGCCAACAACAACAGACTGCTAAGGGTGCTGGAAAGTATTCAACTTGTTACCAGTTCAGGACAACCTATCTCCTCCCATATGTTTGAAGGCAACCCTAATCACTCCTGCCCAGCTTTTTTGTCAAACTGTCCAATGTTGGGCCAAGTTTCAAATTGCTCATAGTGACAGCAAAAACCCTTGCAGAGATGCATCCATAATGATCTCCTAGGAAAAGCCATAATATGAAGACTGGGAAATACTTAGCGGATGAAGGCGCCAAAATGGAATCCGGAACAGCAAACCAGCAGTTTGACATATCCTTGAAAAAGTAAAAACTGCAAATCCTGGTGTCAGGAGTCTCAATCAAGCGGACTATCCGAAAAGTGCACATGTCTCACACCAGAAAGGAGATCCAGACCCTATTCATGAGCACATACATCAAAGCCATGAAAGGAGCCACAAATTCTCAGAAAGCGGCATCCAACACAATGCAGGGCATAGTTACTTGTAAAAAAGCAAGCGGCACGCTTGGCTTGGAAAACTTCCCAATCTGGTCAACACAAGGACAGTGCATATATGACAGTGTACAGTGTACAATTAAATGTCCTACAAAGCTCTACTCAACCCTATACTTGGCTGCAACGTCGTTGTTAGCATTCAGCACCAGCCTGGGCAACAAGACTGACCTCTCTCTCGCGCCGCCAAACCCGACCTGTGGGCGGGCTGATGCATTTGCATTATGCTGTAATTGCTTTCCCGCCCCTACGCTAACCCCTCTACTTGTTCTTGGCCAGTGCCTGCTCCAGTTGTCTTAGCGCCGGCTTCAGGATGTTGAATGCAACCCAGCCTAGGGCGGGAGCCAGAACCAAGAGGAGGATGAGTGGTCGGGAATCAGTCCCCTCCGCCAGCTGAGCAAACTCCTGAGCGGCATCCGCTGATGACGGCCCTGCGAGAGCGGACGCCACCGCCCCCAACCCGATCGCCCCGATCACGCCCTTCTTGTTTGTCATTTTCTTGAACTGGTTAAGAGCCGGCTGCAGGATGTTGAACAGCACCCAGCCAACCGCAGGCCCCAAGACAACCAAGAGGATCAGGGGCCGGTAGTCGGCACCCTCGGCCAGCTGTGCGAATTCCTGAGCGGCATCAGCAGAAGGGGCAGCGAACAGAGACGCAGCGGCGCCAAGCCCCAAGCCCCCGACAACAGCCTTTGCGCCCCGCATTTTGTTGAACTGGTTGAGACCGGGCTGCAGGATGTTGAAGAGAACCCAGCCAATGGCAGCTGCTAGGGGGAAGAGCAGGAGGGCGGGACGAGCATCGGTTGCGATTGTCATGACTTCTTGGGCGGCGTGGGCGGAGGGAGAGGTGGCCAGCATAGAGAAGAGGCTGGCCGCAAGAGCAGTGCCTGCGGAGGCATGGAGAGACTCGCTGCTCACTGCGGGGGTGACAGCCCGGCACTCCTTAGTTTCTAGGGAGGCACGGACCCCAAACTTTGACACATTTCTCCTGGGGAGGACCACAGGCCTGACGGCGGCCTTTGAGGAGGCGCCGATGGCCGCTCCGCTCGACAGAGCGAGCTGCGAGAAGCAGACCTTTGACGCGGCGATGGTGGCAGCCATTGTGCTCTTCCAGACACACCTGACGACAGCAGAGGGCCGAAGGTGAGAGGAGGCACTTGGCGTGCGACAGGAATGCAATGGAGGGGCGCAGAGGGCAGATTCAGCACAATGCAGGGAACCACATTCGCTGGGAAGGTGGTCAGAGCACCAAATCCGTCTTCTCCAAAGACTTATACAGCTATCTCTGCTCGGACGATTCGATTTCGATACCGATCATGGCACTGAAATTTATCGGAATCGAAGGCTTGGGGTAAGTGATTACGCCTGCAAAAACCAGACAAAAAGCACATGCGATCCGAGGGCTCTCGGAACGTGTGGCTCTGAACGGACGGCGCAGAGGCGGATAGGAAATCCTGCCACACATCCGATTTGCATTCGTGTCTGCCAGAAACGAAAGTTCGGAAAGTTCCAGAGGGCCGGCAGTGGGCACCCTTGGTCGAACCCCCAACGACCTTCAAACTACTTTGGACGTCGACGTGCCTGCTAATGAATGCAAGCTGTAACAAAAACTTCAAAGTTTCTGCACGAGTCTAGTTTGGCGTTTATCTAGTACCGTATTTTTTTCCTATACCCACGGTGGCGCTCTCGTACAATCGAACAGGAAGCTGCCTGGAGAAAGGAGGAGTCGTCCACCTTGCAGTGCGGTTTTGAATCGATGATCCCTCATTGCACTTGGTTGAGCTGGATTCAGGGTTTGTGGTTGATGTTGGCTTGCTGGCGGTGGTGTAGGCTTCACCACTGTAGTTATGGAGGATGATCCGCAGGCGCAGATCTTTGCGGTGGAGAGTGCCTTCTACAGCAATTGCCTGCTTCTGGGGTATGATGCTGCGAAGACAGGGGTAGAACTCGCACGTCACATGTTCCGCCACTCCAACCCTAAAGGTGGAGAAGCTGTGCTGTACTTCCTGCTGTCATGCATTCGGCCCCTGCAATTTCAAAAGGTAATGTGGCCACCCCTCTATCTTCTTTTCTGATCCAGTGTCCACCTCGCTCTTTGAGATCAAAATGGTTTTCTAGTCAACATCCATCTTGTAGCAGCCACATTGGTGGTGCCCCCTTCAAATCAGTGAACGGTTTTTCACTCTGGTATTGTGGAAATTGCGGTGATTCACGAGATTTCATCTGCATTTAAGCTGTGCTCTTTTACAGGACAGGATCAAAAGGCTTGAACATATTTCGATGCCAAGAAGAGCATCTGACGGTGCTATCTGTGCAGGACTTCCATGGAGTATGGCCAATCTTTGACGCAAGACAAGCTCGTGACTTCCGCAAGGTAAGACCTGGAGCAAAGCTCTCAACAATATGACAGAGCTTTCTTTCAGACGGCAACACTCGAGTTAGACCGTCAAATCTGCTTCAGGGTGCCTCAATTTTTATCCCCCTAGTCAAGTTGGAATAATTTTCGACGATCTTGGTGATACAGGTTGTACAGAACTTGCTGGCTGAACTGGAGGCATCCAAAGACCTTCCACGCAGCAACTCACGACTTTCCTCTCTGGCAACATGCTGCGGCGAACGGTAAGTTCTCGCTGGTATTACTATTAAAACCAAAGTGAAGACTTAATTCCTCGATCTTCTCACATTGAGCTTTTCAGCGATGCGCGACCAATCTCTGTGGAGGAAGATCAAGGCGATCATTTCTCTGCCCCACAGGTAGTACGTCAGTTTGTACCACTCCACAAGAGTGATGTGACGAGCGAGAATGAATGCAGTATTGGAGTGTTGAATTTCCACTGACTTGCATGAGGGGCACAGACTCGAACCTCAGAAATTGGTTATGTCGTCTTGACTGGTAGTCAGAATCAGCAACTGTCCTTCTCAGGTTCATCGAGTTGGTCTGGCAGCTCTCGGCGCACGCGCTAAGGGAAGTGCTTCTGCGGATGTCTGACGTTCGTCAGGCGCAAGTCCCTGTCCCATTGACCGAGGTAGCACAGCAAGCCGAGTATGCCTCGGCTCTCTTACCCATTACAAAGGTACGCCCCTTGCGACCATGGACAAATTGTGATTGCACCGTCTGTATTCTTACATGACTTGAGCAGGCATCACTGATCTGGATGATATATGTCGGAAGAAGTCTCCTAAGAAGCAATGCCTTGAAAGCCCCTTCTGTTGGCCGGTGTTGACTAACTCGAGCCTTGTGAAAGGCAGTAGACCGCATGAAAGCGTCTGAATGCCCATTGCCACACTCAGAAACCTCACTTGCTCAAGGGCTTGCCTCGCAGAAAGTTGCACTCCGCACATGCCGGATGTTGTCATGTCCTGCAGGCTCGCATTGCGTTGCAGCGCAAAAAGTTTCTGACCTCCGCAGCAGCGGCTGTGGAGCGCCAGGACGAGTGGGCCGGCCTAGCAGACGAGATCACAGCAGAGCACAGGGCCCTCACAGCAGAGCAGGTGCGTGAGTCTTCCAAAAGGCAGGGTCTCGATCAGGGGGATATCCAGTACGATGTGCACAATTAGGATATGTCGTTTTGGTCATACTTGAAGGCCTCCCCGGCGTTACGAAAGGGCTTACGATGGGAAGTACAAATATGGACGAGTCAGTTGTTTTGATATCTTCAAAACACGATCGTGTTGCCTTGGATATCTTGGTCTGGGCTTCCTAGACAAAGTCGAAACCCCAATGTTCACAGGCTAAGTGCTGAATTACTGCCGCCACTTCGGATTACATCAGAAGACGCCTCTGGGCCATCCTGAGTGTCCCGGAGTGCTTCTCAAAAACCAGCAAACATTTCTTCGTCTTACCTCGCCCACGAGTTGGCAAAAACCTCCAGATGCAAACGGCAATCAAACCTGTCATAATGCCTTTCTACCAAGTACTAATTGCGTCTTTTCCACAGGCGTTACTTCAGCAGCAACTCCAAGCAGCATGGCTGGCTGCCACGGGGGGCCTTGCCTCTACCGTTAATGAGAAGGTGAAGCTGACAGTGAGGGCCAAGGAGGTGAAGTTGGCAACCGGCCTCTGGGCGTCCCTGATGAAACACACCGGTGAGGGGCGAGTTGTAGTCCGTCTCTGCTATTCGAAACAAGGATCTAGAAGCCTGTGTAAGTCCGGAGTATGCTCTTGGCTTGGATGAGGGGTTCGAAGTATCCTTTGCGACTGGAACGATTAAGCGTGGGTTGTTGCTCGTGCACAAAAGGAAACGAGACCGAGTACTTCCCGTCATTAGACCATCCAACGTGCCATCGTTTAGAAAACATGGAACCAATCTTTTGTCTCAATTTTCGACACAAAGAGGAAATTGGAAGTCAACAAGCGACAGAGTCTGCTTCGAACCCGTCCTCGTACCTATTCAAATTTCCTTTTCTGCAGAGGAGAGCCAGAGAATGACGTCAGGTCATCTGCAAGATGTGTTGACACTGCGGGAGCATAGGTACGCTTTCCTTAGGATACAGAAACCCATGTGCTTGCGAAATGCTGTCTTCGTGAACGAACAACTGTCCTTTCTGCTTTTACCAACGTCCGACTGCTTGTCCCACGTCCGTACCCAATCAACTTCAGCGGCTGTGCTTTGCTGGGTTGATATCCATAAGGTTTTCCTTTGGCTTTATCTGGGAACCCCTTCTGTGTGATGAGACTAAGGCTCGCCTCCTTTCTGAGACTCCTCACTCTTTCCAACTAGATTCCTCCAGTATAGCTTCTCGTAGAGCCTCAAACAGTATTTACTGAGCCATTGCATACAAATGACCAACAAAAAGGTAACATTCTCGAGAACCCTCTGACAGAAGTTCCGAATCTTGTTTTGCAATAAGGCCTACGTTGAAGTGCATCACTTCCGCCGGCTGGTAGATACTACATCAAACCCCCAAAAAAGTATATCACTCGGCCCCTGGGCAGTGATCTATTCAAAGTAGCGTAGTTTCACTGGAACATGATACGGACAACAATTCCTCTGACGGTTCTCTTTTTCTTACCGGAAGCCTTCTTGGAATGTCCAGGTATCGCATCGATGGCGCCGCTCTCCGAGAAGCCATGCAGTCCAGCGACCAAGCTCAGCCCTCCGATTTCGCTCGCCGGAACGACCCTTCCGCCACCGGACGTCCGGAACACGATACAGTCGGACACGTGGCTGGCGTCCGAAAAGTTGCGGCGGAGCCTTTGGACGTGGTGGACATGCTGCAAAGCTGGACGGGTGCGCTGCAGGCGTCGCAACAACAGCTGCAGCAGGTGAGGGGCCCTTCTGCATTCCGTTTGTGCTCGAAGCACCCCAGCCGTTGGGATTCTGCTTGGAGCTTTCCAGCCGTTGATTTGTTTTTCGAGCATCCCAGCCATTGGAGCCTTGATTGAAGCATCTAGCCGTCGGATTGCATTCAGAGGTTCCCTGCCGTCGGATTTTGAGTGGAGCATCCCAGCCATCGGAGTGTGATCGAAGCATCCCAGCCCCCGAGGTGCAGTCAGAAAGTGGACTATAATTGAGGCCCTCACGAGGCGTTTTTCCTTGGATCGATTTTCCGTGGTCCCGTCTACTAATGGTTCGTCGAAGATCAGGTGGGACTTGCGTGAAACTCGTACGCTTTTGTTCAGCAGCTGCATGTGTTTCCAAGCGAGATCTTATATGTGTTGGGAGGCGGCGGTCTTCAGACGAGAATCGTTAAAGTCATCCCTTCAAGGATAGGTTTGTTCGTACTTTTTGCCCTAAACGCCAATACCGGCAGCTTGCGTAGACCGCTGACGACGATGCCAGGATCCGATTCATTTCCATCTTTTCTTTCATCTTCAGGTCAGGTGCATATTTGGAGCGGCCAAGCCTCTTCTGGATCACGCGTTCCAACCGTCGAAATGTCCGACCGTAATCCATCATCTCCTTCGACACTCCCTTTTTTCTATTATTTATTAGAAGACGCCAAAGCTCGTCTTCTCCAACCGGTCCGACATTGGAATCTCGTCGGTCTCTGCAGGGCAATGGCGTCGGTCCGATCATCAGCGACGGCGAGGGCAGTCACGGCCAAGCACTGGAGAATGCCCTGGCCGAGCACAAGAAGCACCTCGCAAATTTGCAGGCGAGAGCGCGCACTCTGCGCTTTTCTTTTTGAAAGGAGCAAACACCCGCACGCAAAAACTATCCCTAAAGAGAGTGGCGTAGACCTCATTAGCGTCAATATCCGTTAAGATTTTGTGCTTCGACGTGACTATCCTAAGGCACTTACTGCTACGACTTTCGTCCGTACCAAATATTTCTCCAGCCATGTGCACGAGGCTTCGCATGTCCTCATGCCAGGTAACTTTGTGTGCCGGGGGAGCTTTTGGACTAGGGGCTTTGCAAATCCAATTGCAGCTTATGCATAAATCCGCGACAATCCATGAAGTTTTCTGCGGTGGAACGACGGTGGGATTGACTTTCGGTGCGTTTTGCAGGCTCTTGTTTCTGCCCTGAAAGAGCAGACACCGAAGTCGGAGAGCACCGTGGACCTTCTGCGGGAGCAAGTGGCAGAGGCCATGGCCGAGTCGTCGCAGGTAGGGGGGACTCCTTTCCTCTTTGAATCTGCTCGTTTTCGACTTCGTTATACATTCAGACCCCGGGCGAAAACCAGGGCAGAGAAGCAGACCTGTAGCTTTGGAGCAAGGTCGAAAGGCGGCGTAGGTTTCTTGCCATGTCGTGATTGAAGAAAGTGCTGTCGACGGGAGCGCGATTGTTGAACCCTTCTGTGAGTGCAACATAATGGGTTCGTCATGCGCTGATTCTTTATTAGGATGGAAAGGAAGAGAAGTGATTACGGCCCTCTTTTGTGCCCTCATCTCTCTGTTGCCGTGTCGATGAAATGATTCCCCATACATTGCTGCTCAAGTAGTGTCCTTTCCTTCTGGCCACAAGAACTGAAAATTGTTCGCTCGTTCAATTACCGCCCAAAATCGCCCAGGAGTCGCACGACGAGTCTGGTGCAATCCCGTCCCAACCTTTTCCCTTCTTGCAGGCGGGCGGTCCCCTAAGCGAACCCCCCTTCACTCCGGGTCGCAGACCGGGCGCACGCCTTCCGGACGAACGCTCCAAAAGCGCCCGGTTGCAGCTTGTACCGCCCACGCCTGCTATGAAGCTCGGGGGCAGACAGCCGTCGGGAAAAGTTGCTCCGGGCTCGCTGAGTTCCCTCGATGAAGCTGGTAATGACCAAGAGGACAAGGAGGCGAACGATTCGGAAGGGGCGAAAGGAAGGAGCCGGGTCGGGACTCGAATGCTCGGGAGCCTTTTCGAAAGCGAACCGGGCGCTTCAGGGAATCTGCAGAACGTCGACGAGTTGAGGCGTTCGATTCGGCATGCGGCGGCGGCCCGGCAGGAGGAGAGACACGTGGCAGCAGCTGCGCCGATGACAGCTGGCAGCCGCAACCAGCCGTTCGTGACCCCCGCCGCGGCGCTGCACAGCTTCAAAACCCCGCGCTTTGGAAGCGCGGTGACCGGTAGTTCGCGACCCGGGGTGGTGGCTCGGCTGGACATGGACAGGGGAGTGCCCGGAGGGAGAGCAACCGGGCAGTCTAGCGCAAGGGGCATGCCGCCGCCTAGAGACGTAACAACCGGGCGGCTAAGAAACAGACCGGTGGGTTCAGCTCAGCCGCACCAGGAACTAGGTCGAGCGGGAAAAGCGCAGGTTTTGCGGAGAGATGAAAACGATGCCCGCAAAAACAGCAGTAGCATTGCGCTCGAATCCAGCGGGGCGCAAGCGGCTGAGAGCTTCCCGCAGCAGCGAGGGGGCCCAGCGTGGAGTTCTGCGGATGATGACGTCATGTCCGAGCGGCCGAGGAGCGCCCCGTTCCGCCCCGCGGGTCAGCCGGTTGTTTCTCAAGCGGAGCACGGCTTCGACGAGGACCGGTCGTCCGAGTATTCGGGGTTAGACACCGGTTTAGGGCAAGGGTTAGATGACCGGGGCTTCGATGGCTCGGGTCGGAGGCCTCGGGAAAGCAGCGCGAGCCGGCAGTCGGTGTCCGGGTGGCCGCCAGAGCGCGTTTTGTCGCCGCCGCTGCAGTTGGAGGTGGATATGGCGGGAGATGACCCGGATGACATCTTCGATCTTCTAGGCGAGTTTCTTTCCACTTTTCTTGAGCAGACCGTGTTCTTGCTAGACAAGCAGATGCCTACATGGATGAAAGGGGTCACTCAAGACAAAACAATGCCGCTGGCTCCTGTTTTTTGCCGCCTGCTCCTATCTGCTGACAGTCATCTCCGTTCTCAAGAGAACGGAGATGACTCGAGCTGCCTTGAAACCAAATCGAAATCTGAAAGGGCAGAAACTTATTCGGATGCACCGCAGCCGTCCTTGAGCATGTGTCAATATAGACCTTCTTACTACTTTTGGACAGCGGTCCGGGTAGTGCACCCAAAAGCTGACCGGCTGCGGCGTCCCTATGCTGGTTGCTTCCTGCACTGAAAACTTAATAGACTTCGTCTGACTCAAATTTTCGGTTGTGCGCAGCTCCTCTGAAAGCTCAAGACCTGAACTTCTACAGTCCACGCGGCGCACAACAGACTGGGCGCTCGTCGCCCTCTGGTCCGTAGACACCACACTTGACGTCCTGGGAACTTTCGAGCAAGAACCTGTACTTTGAACGCAATGATCATCGCAAGAGGTCTAAGCACACAGTGCAAGCTCTTCAGGCTGTTGAATGCTGGACTTTCGATCACAGCAAATATCAGGTGCTGGCGACCCTTAAGTTCGCCTAACGTGCTTTCTCGATGAGCTCAACCTGCTTTGACAGGGCTTGCGAATGGTACGCGTGGCTGTACGTTACGAATGAAAGAGGTTAACCTGGAAGAGCAGTTGCTAGGGCCGGGTACGCTTGTTTCGTGTGCTCACTACACATAACATGTTGCCAACAGCTGGAAACTGCAGCAATGCAACAGCTTCGGTCTGATTTGGTGATCTGGCCGGCGCTGCGTGCATTCGCTTAACTGGCAAGCCTAGTGTGGTAGACATACGCGGACGGTAATAAGTTACGAATCATCTAACTGCAGTACTAGTCGCACAATAAAGCATGACGGGGTATGTACCCCATGCGGCCGCCATTGCAAATCGACGATCGCCGCTATGAATTATCGAACGTGCATACATACAGTGGTACACGCCAGGTGCATCATACCGCGAGCATGTGGTCTGCAACCATGCACGTGCATATCTGGACTTTACTCGAATGATTAATTAGAGCTGAAAAGCAAATGTGCAAGTAATATTCAACTTGTACAGGTCAGTTCATGCCATGTGGTCGGAGACTTTTTGTTGTCTGACAAGAGGGAGGGCTTAAGTACATTAATTACGCTACTGGGTACTCGATGGCGGATCCATACAGGAAGATGTAAGGGTCAGAAGAAAGAAGACTAGCCTCACACCCAGATTCCACTTAGCAGAAAAGTTCCCTGCTGATCGTCGCCTGGGGCCATCTGGTTCAGATCTGGCCCGTGACTTGCATTGCCAGCCTACCGTATCCTCGAACCATGACTCGGAACATCTACAGTAATAGCAGTCAAGTAGCCTACTCAAGGTGCTGTTTTCAACGGTCATCAGATCGACGGTCTGTGTACACAAGAGCTATGTAACATCCTCTCAAAGTCGCCAGAGACTTACAAACAACTAGAGTCAAGAGTAACAAGAGTTCCTAGTTGACCATCCCTTCCTCCTTGTGCCCTGCGCACCGGCTCTTCCCCTTCTGATCCGCGTACTTGTACCGCGCCACCTTGGCACATCCCGCGACTTCGCACACAGCGGTCTTCATCTCCCACATGCCCGGAGCCTTGTGCACCGAACACGACTCAGGAACCAGCTTTGCCTTGCCCTCCTGCTTGCCGTATCGGGCTGGGTGACGGCAGCCCTCCACGTGGCACGGAAGCGGCCCTCGAATCAGGAACTTGCTCGTACGTTCGCCCCCTCCTTCCGTCTCTACATCGGCTTTCTTATCCCCAGGCTCAGCATAACCCCCGTTGAGCCGCTTTTCCATCGCCTTGTCCGCTTCTTTCTTCTGCCGTTTGCTTTCCTTCTCTCCATTCTCAGCGCCTTGCCGCCCGTTTTCCCCTCCCTCGTTTCCGTGTCTCGCTTCCTCCCCCCCCTTCCGTTTCACTCCACCGGTGGAATAAGCTGCGGGGGATCCCCCAGGCCCTGTAGTTGGTCGCCAGAAGCCCTGCCACCGCCCTTCAAAGTACTTGCCCCAAAAGTCAAACGGGGCCTCGTCCCTCCCTTTCTCCGCTGCCCCATCTGCCACTTTCTTCGCCTTGGCCTTTCCCTCGCCCTCCTTCTTGGCACCCGCTTTCTTCGCCCGCCGTTTGACGGGCTTCTCCTCTGCTCCCTCGACTTTACCAGACTCGACCTCAGCCCCTGACTCCGGCTCTCGCTTGCTGACATCAGCGCTCACGTCATCTGCTTGCGCGGGCCCGCCGCCTCCGGCTTCTGCCGCAGCAGGAGCTTTTGGTGGCTGCTCCGCTTCTTCCTTTCTCTTCTGCCCTTCCGTTACCTCGTTCTCCCCCTTGTTTTCTAGCTTGCCCCCCCCATCCTTTTTCTTCTTCCGCTTCTTCTCAGGCCGTCCTTCCCCTTCCGGCCCTCCCTCCTGTTCGACCCCTTTCTCCGCCGCTTTATCGCTTCCCTTCTGTTGTGACTGGTCAATGGCCAGCCTGCGGTCCTCCGCACCCCCCAGCGCCGCTCTTCCCCTTCCTCCGTCCTTCCCCTTGTCCTCCCGCTTGTCTCCTGCCTTTCCCTCCCCTTCCTTTTTGTCTCTCCGTTTCTCTGTCTTTTTGATCTTGCCCCCCCCTTCTTTGACCCCTTTCTCCGCTGTCATTTCTACCCCCGTTTGCTGGGTCTCATCAAGGGCAAAACTGCGACCCTCTGCTCCCCCCTGAATCGCCATTTCAGGTTCTTTTCTATCCTTTTTATCTTTGTGTTTTTCTGGCAGACCTTTTTGACTGGGAGGCGTTGCCCCGTTTTCAATGGGGCCTGTGGCTAGACCGTGTTCCTCTGTCCGCTCTCTCTTTTTCTTCTTCTTCTTGTGTTCCCTTGCGGCTTCGCCTGCCCGTGGAACAAGATAGAAAGAATCGAGTGAATGGCTGATTGTTTCAAGCTGGGGAAGCTTTGTGATCCTGGGCCATCAGCGAGTGAGGAAGAGAATCTGGCAATAAAGCACAACAAAGCTCAATGAAACTGGACGGGTAAAAGCACGGGCTCAACAAGGGGTTTGAAGCAACATTTTCGGGTCTTGCTTAATTGCAGGAGGCGATTGAATTGTAGAAGCTGAAGTTGAGCAAGCAACGCCAGGATGAAGCCAGAGGGCGGGTCAGGGCTGCTGACGATCGAGCAATGCCGAATGTCAAAGCAGTTGTGCTGGGTGTGTACCAGAACTGACTGCAAAACGTGGGCAACCAGACTGAGTTCTTCAAGTTTCGATAGAGTCTGCTTCTGTGGATGTTTTAAGAGAGGGTCAAAGCTTAGGACGTGACTGGTAAAAGCGGGATAAAGCCTGCTGTAGAACCAACACAGGTAGTCCAGCTGGTAAAACGACAGCCTCTTACAAAAGGGCGGAAATGCAGAGTTACCTGACAGGGAGCTAAAGACAAAAGGTAGTCCCGAAAGCTCCTATTATTGGAAGGGAAGGACGCGAGTCACTCTCCTTTCAAAAGCCAAGTCTCGTCATGTGGTGAGTTTTCAAAACAAGCAACCATATTTTAAAAGACTACATCAAACTGCCAATTTCAGGGGCTTTGGGACGCTTACCTATGTCATTGGTCATCACATCCTGCCGCCTCTGCTCCGCCCCCACATCCTCCTTGCCCACACCCCCTTCGCCCCCAGATAATGCCAGGCTGTCTCGCTTCTTCCCCATCAGACTTCTCAAACTTTAGTAGTCTTGTTCCTTCTGTAGTCAGAGGTTCCTCTTATCAACTGGAACAAACCCTGATCGCAATGCCTTCCACGGAAGTCTGCATGGGGGAAGGTTTTGGTAAGAGACCAATGCATTACAAAGTCACCTCAGTGCCCCTTAACGGTTGTATTCACTGCAGAGAAATGACAAGGTGTGCCACCGTTCTGGCTGACAAATGCCGAGGAGGTAAAATGGAACTTGTCATAGATGGTGCAAGTTTCAAGGTCCGCAGGAAGGAATGCACTTGAGAGTCCACAACATAACCCATTTTTTACTTCTGAGATGCCACCCTGCTACTGGGTTCACGTAGAACCGCAGAGTCTCTCCTTCCAGGCATTCCTTTCAATGCCATCTTACCTGATATGTCCCGGGCATTGCTTATAGACCATTCTACAAAGAAGCACAGGCATTCAAGTGGAGGGCAAAATAATCGCTTGCTGTTACTACACGAGTCATTGTGTTGACCCAAAAACCTGTGCAAAATGCCGCTCGCCTCTGAAATGCCTAGGCCCGTCGATCACAATGTGGCGAGATGCCTTGCGTCTCACTCCATGTCTAATGCAAACTTGTATTGGAGGGTCACCAAATTGGGCGCCCTGCAGAGTGTGAGCAATGACACAGACACAAGCCAAGTAGCAGAAGGCCTTACTTACACCAAAGTCACGAACGACAGCCCTCCCTTCAGACGCCTCCTTTGTGCCCAATTGGAATTTGGAGCCTTCAAGTTCTGGATTGAGGCGCCAATTTCTTTGAACTTGCATGGACAATCCAACTTCCAAGTTTCAAGTTTCTGCAGTCCTTGCAAAAGGCTGCAAACTGACCGTCCTAGCTCACGTCTCTTCAACTTGACCAAAGCGGGTTCCAAGCGGGGTTTCGATGCGTTGTGCAGTGTACTGGTAGCACTCTACTGTGGTCTAGCTACAGCACGTTGTGTGCATGTAGGCCCTAGCCGGGGCGCTAGCCCACATTGAGGCTGGACTCTTGTTAAGGGAATCTCAACCGTAACCTGGTCCACTATAACCCGCTTTAAAGTGGCGTTCTTCTTGGACAAATGCAGCCTGCATGAGCAAAGCAAATGTCTGTTCCTTGAAGCTTTGAAAGCTTGGCTGGAGGAAGCACAGGATAAAACCCTCTCCCATTGTGCGTGGATTACTGTTCCGAGCAGCTGGAGATGGCGCAGCCTGTGCGGCAAGAAGTCTTCTTCGTCTTTGTCCCTGGGCGGAATGGGGAGGAGCATTGCCTCCCTTGCTTAGGAAAGCCTGAGGCTGATAATGTGCGCAGTCTGCGCAAGTCCATCGGGGTGAGAGGCCAAGCTTGTCATCTTTCTTGAGCCCAAACGCGCAGGAATCAAGGAAGATCAAGAATGCTGTTCTCCAGACAAGCTTTCTACCTAATGTGTCGTGGCGGGGTCAACGTGTTGTTGGTGTGCACCATTTGGCATGATCTTGAATGCGTTCTGGTTCCACACCACTATCTAGAGATTATCCGCGCGATCAATGCTGAGACCACCATGTTATGAAGAGTCACTTTTCTCTTCAACTTCAATAAGTCCACAGTGGAGCAAGTGCCTGCAGAACATGAACTGGGATCCAAGTGGCGCTTCATTGTTGTATGGCAGTTTAGCATCATACCATGCAGTCTGTATTGAGAACATGTGGCTAATGCTGGTTGGTGTGTGAGCTGCCAGCTCTCAATCCCATATGCTCAAAGACTCTAGTTCCACCTGCTAAACGTACTTCCTGTCATGCTTCTGTCACTTGGACAGTTTCTTACCGCGTTCAACAGACTGCTCCCTGTCCAGGGCTTCAACTCAAGAGGTCATAAAAGTTTTCAGAATCATCTGTCTTGAGGATGCACTTACATGTGACCCGTCCCTTTCCCCTTTGCAGAAAAAAGCACGTTCGGCTGGCGCTCTTGCAAGAAGCCACCGCGTCAGCGCCCTCAAATTGGTCTTTGCAGACCAGCTTGCAGTAGAACTGGTCAACAGCGAACCTCTCACGGTCCTGACAACGATCTTTCAGAACACTTCTGGAGAGCAGTGGCGCAGGCTAGGAAGCGGAGTCCAGCCTAGGCTTGTTGCAGTTGTGAAAGAAAAAGGCGTGCAGACTCCAGAGACGAGGGGGCCACCGACACAGACAGACCAGGCGGTGCAGACTCCGGTGAGGGACACTGAAGGGCCAGTCCGGAGACCAGAGAAGAGGCAGCGCGAGGAGCGTGTCAGTGCGTGTGATGGAGGTGAGGTTCCATGAGCTGTGTATAGGCTGCCCCCCTTTAATGAAAGACTGTGTTCATATTCAAAGATCCTCTAATGAAGCGAAGTTGCGGGGTCCGTTCTCAGAGTCGGCTTCACTGCAGTCATGACGCAGCTATCACAAGGAGGAACTTTTTCTCATAGTCCAGAATGGTTTGTGAAGGTTTCTGTTCAGATATGCGTTTGGGGATATCTGAACTTCTTAGCCACTTGTCAAATCTGAACCAGTGGGCCCATGCGTTTTGCTTCCAGAGAAAGAACGAGACAGCGCTTGAAATCCTGAGTTATCGGCTGCTGCTTCCCTCAATTCGTGCTGCAGTGATGAATCAAGTCTTGCGGTGCCAGAAGAGCTGCCTTGCGATTGATTAAGATTGTCACAACTTTGTTGCATGTCACTTCTGAGCAGCAACTCTCAATACGAAATCGTTTTAAGAATGACGGACGATCAAGGTGGCTGACCTGCCTGATCATTTCCGCTATTGTCAGGTCCCCAGGCGAAGCGGCCGAAGTCAACAGGTGCTGACATCAGCGGCAAGGCAAACCAGGAGGGCGCACCACGAGAAAGCAGACCCAATGATGCTAGTCAGGAGCGAGACGGGCGGAACACGGAGAGCGGGGATGGCGTTGGGGGGCGCGAAGCGCAGAGACGGTCTGTGGGCAACACCAGCGGAGCTGCGGCAAGCAATCTTGCCGCTGGGGTCGAGGGAGCGAAGCCGGATATCAAGCGGAAGACAGTGAAGAAGGTGAAGATTGAATTGAGCGAGTCGTCAGAGAGTGAGCATCCAAGCAGGGCGGAAGGTGGGCGGGGGGGCAGTGACGTGGCTGGAGAGCCGCAGCAGCCGCCCGGGAAAGCTCCGAACGAAGCGAGGGCGCCGGAGGGACGGTCAGGACGTGCTCGTGATGTTCAATCGGATTGCGGCGTTCTGAAACAAGAGGAGGGAGTCGAACGAAGGGGAGTGGTCCGAGGTGAGGGGCCAAAGGTTGACAAAGGTGGTGGCCGAGGGATTGGAGGGGGTGCGAGCCGGGAGCCAAAGCGTCCGGAGGCGGCGGTCTCGCATGTGCGAACGAAGGAGATGGAACCGGAAGGTTCTGAGGTGGATGCGGACGCATGTGACGAGTGCGGCAATGAGGAGAACCCGGAGTTATTAGTGCGCTGCGCCGAGGCAGAGTGTGCCACTGTTGCGCATATCTACTGCATAAGCGAGGAGATGGACGAGGTCCCAGGGGCAGATTGGTTCTGTGATGGATGTGAGGAACGGAATGAGGCGGACAAAACGGGGGGGCACCAGGAAACAACTTCGGCGAGACGGGGTGTAAAAAGAGGCGAGGCTGAATCTGTTGAACGATTGGGCCAGAGACGGACAATATTTCGAGATGGAAGAGGTGGCGGCCGAGGGGAAGACGTGCAGCGGAATGGAGGGGGGTCGATCCACGGGAAGGTTGCACGGGGCGGGAGTGGCGTGCAGGGTGCGAAACGAAAGGCATATCTCATCGGCGGACCCCCAACTTGCCAGCATGAAGGTTGTGGGCGACGAGCTTGGTACACTCTTCGTGGTGACGGAGTATACCCTCGAGTCTGCCACAGCCACAAGTTACAAGGGATGGTGCAGAAGACTGGTTCAACATGCGAGATTCTCAATTGTCAGCAGGGAGCAGGCTACAACTTTCCGGGTCAGAAAGGAAGGCGTCGCTGTGGGAAGCACAAAGAGGAGGGAATGTTCACGCTGTCGTCCCTGTGCGAGGTTTCGGGCTGCCATTGTGTGGCTAGTTATCGAAGCAGCGAGGGCCAAAGATTTACCCGTTGCTCCCTACACAAAGTAAAAGGGACCATGATCCCCGCTCGTCGATGTAAACAACCTGGCTGTTTAGTTACGGGCCATTACGGGTATGCAGGAAGGGGCAGAGAATTCTGCAAGGAGCACTCAGCAAGAGGAATGGTGCACCATCCACTTGTAAAACGGGGTCCAAAACGGAGAAGGTAATCCAAAGTCATGTCCTACGCCTTCAACGTCACGAACCTGGAATGACAACTGACAATCTGATGTACAGCTTTTTGGAATCCGAAAGGGGCATATTGGCGGCAGCAAGTTTTTGTTTCTCTACAAATGCTTCAGATCTCCTCAGGCATTGTTTTCTGACTACCAGTATATGTTGAAATATGTGCAAGATTAGGCAAACTCGCATCCTGCTGCCAGCGGTCCATATCCAAGTTCTAAGAATTTTGGCAGCCGTTTAGATGCTCATGTGCAATAATGTTGCAGATAAATTATCATGAGGCCGGGTCATTAAGCTTGCGACTCAGACATTCGTCTATCACCCGCGCGTACGCATTCAGCTCAAGACTCGAACCGTTCGAGTCACGCCGGGTTTCGATCAACCAGTATAGGAATAGCACATGTCCGGCCCGCGGCTGGCAACCATGCATGCATGCATATAGGCGCTATATAGCCGTCACTTATATATGAACAATCATTTGAAGATGGCTCAATTCACGCACGCACGGCACGTCGAGTTGTATAGATTGTCCATGGCCATTTGCCATGTGCCAGGCTAGGTGCACCTAGCTGGCAGTGACCATCACATGCACATGCTTAATTCGATGCAATGATGGCCCGGTCATTCCTTTGTCAGTCAAGGAAACGACTTGGCTTATAAACAAACAGCGCGGGTAGATCATTGTGCACATGTTTGCAATACGGTCACGCATGTCACGCGCGGCCCAACTCAACACAATTGTTTGCTGATTGAACGAGCTGCAAGCCCTAGCGGCAAGGCCGGCATCGTTGGCTGGGGTTGGCACGTTCAATATCTAGGTCTATGTACTTCACTGCCTAAGCAGCTATGCATGTTTCGCCCTGGAAGCTCCTCAAAGCTGCCGCTCGAAGGCAGATGGACAGGCCATGCATCTGGCAAGCGACGAACAAATGGTTGACAACAGTAAATAAGGAAGGTGACTGGCCTGCCGAAACCAATAATATGTGCTGCAGTGCATTCAATCTCCTCGACCTCTGCGGACGTTGGAATTCGCTCGCTTAGCGTTCGCTTAGGCCCGAGCATGAAGAAGCGCCAGGATCACGACCTGTGTCCAAAGTTTCTCTAGCCCGGATGGAGAACAAGTAACTCAGTGCTGCTCGTTCTATGATCACACCGACTTCCCCGTGTTTACATTGTAATCTGCGGAAGGCGGATTCGCTGCAAAAAGCTATAGAAACGGGTCTTCCTAGGCTTGGAAATCTTGGCGTCCAATCTTGCAGATACTCTAGGCACGCACTTCGGGCCTCAGCCTAGCTTTAAAAGGAACTCTGAGCTGAGTCCAAAAGCTGAAGCTGGTGATGGTGAGAAGAAAATGTGCTTCCAACTTCCCAACGCCGGAAATCCTGCTGATCAGGCCGGAACACTCTGTAAGCAAGCGGCTAATCTTCAGATCGCCCTTCCCTTGCAAGCGGATGGAGAATGCGACGCTTACAATGGCGAGGATGGTCGAGACTGTCCCCCTACAGAGGCCGAGCGAAGAGCCTAACGTTCTTGTATCGGCTTTGCTACTTCATTTGCAGAACTGCAAGGAACGTAATCTGATTAAGACTCTCTTGGGTCGATCAAATGCCCAGCGTGAAGCTAAGAAGGTAGTTTGCGCGACTTGCCAGCAGAAGGCTTCACCTCCCATACAACCGACACTCAGTGACCTCAGGAAACGAAAACATTGTTGTGGCCATCTGACAAAGTGGCCACCCGACTACACGGAAATATGATGGGGCGTTTTGAGGGGACAATGGGTGAAAGTGGTTTCAACAATACTGAAGGAGGCATGTTAGGCAAGCGCCTTTGACCTGTTCTGACTTCCCAAGGCCAGCGAATACCAGGTCGCTTCGCTGCCTTGTCCACAAATTCATCTGTAGCGGAGAGACATGCACTGCATCTCCAGAGAGCTCGCTAGTCCCTGAGCGCCAGAGCTGTCCGCGTCGACATTACGGCTGGACCGATCCGCAACATACCGTTTTAGTCTCTGTCTCGTCAGCACCTTCAGAACACCCAAGCAGCCAATGCCCACAGAACAGAGGTGATTCAATCAGAGCCAGTTTCTTCCAAAGTTATGCCCGAGCTTTTGTCCCTTACCTCTATCTGCCTTGGTCCATGCGAGACCCTTGCCGGCGAAGCCTTCGACCGGCGTTCTCTCCTCTCTTTTTCTACCGTCTCCCCAAGCCGCCAGGGGCCCGGGCGTCCGATGTGGACCGCTCAGCGGCGTTCACGGATCCTGCGTCAGATCCTGCACAGCAGAGTTCTAGTCAGGACTCATCCCTGGAGCGCGACCACCCGTTTGGACGTCCGAAGTGCAGGCCTCGAGGAGTTTTGCCAGGACGTAGCTCGGAGTCCGAGCTCCGGACGGTCACCACTTTCGAGCAAGGAGCAGGAACAGTGCTCAAAATCGAGCTCAACTGAGGCTTTCTGTTGGGTCATTCGCAACGGAAGTGTCGAGAAATCCACTTCTGGGTTGTTCGACCCAATCGTCCGTACAATGACCTCAGAGGGGCAGCTAGGATTGTGAGAAAGGCGAAAACATGTGAGAAGGTCCCGAAAAGTAAGATTGATGGACACAGCAGTCTCAGACATCGCAACCGTGATAGTCTGAGGTCCACAAAGAAAGATCAACGGACACAACCGCCCCCACACGTGACAAGCTCTGCTCGTGAGTCAATCCGAAGGATGTCAACTTGTCGCGGAGGTCTCTAATTTTTGCTCATGCGCACTTTCTCTTGGGCATTACAAGCTCGTAGAAGCACCAGGACTAAGAAGCTTACCCAGGAAACGAGGCATGTGAACTTCTTATATGATGTGGCGAGAGCAAACATGCAGAATTACTTATTGCAGCGGTAAAACGATGCTCCAGACGCTGGTAATGCGATGCTTGAAAGCGGAGGCATCAAGCCCCCAAGAGGAAGGTAAGACAAAGAGACAAACTTGAGAGAAACTGCAGCTCAATTTTAGGCACAACTCGCTCGAAAGCTCACAAGGCCTCACCTGAGCCTCCTCCCGGCCAAAGTACCCGAGTCACGCCCACTGCATCCCTTGTTCTTTATGCTGGGTACAAAATCGAAGCCTCTTGCCGCACCCAACAAAACCCCACCTGGCACGGATGGAGCAGTGCTCTACTTCGCAAAGGGGCCTATTACTGACCATCCCCTCTTGTTTGTGGGCTCCGCACCTTGTGGCTTTCTGCCCGCGCATAATCGTGAAGCTGGATTCCTTGCCGCAGCCCCTCACTTCGCACAAACCAGCGACACCGACCATCCCCGGTTCTCTATGTGCGCCACAACGGACTCTGCCCTTCCAACTGTTGAAATTAAAGCTTGCTGTAAGTTTGCAGCCCAGGACTTCGCAGATTGCACCGCTTTGAAACTCCATCCCGAACGACTTGTGTTTGCTGCAAGCTTCGGGAAAGACCGTCTTCCCTGGCTGCTTGACACCATACCATGCTCTCTTTCCGCACCCTGGCTGACAGCACTTCGGCGGGCCGCGGATAACGAACCCGTTCGGCCCTCGCCCCCCCCTCTCCCCATCTCTAGTTCTTCCCCCGTGCCTCCCCTTCTTGCACTCGCCACACAGCCAGGCGCCAGTTGGCATCTCGTCCATCTCCTCTCCGCAGCAATACACGTGCACGGTCGTAGCGCACCCCGCCCCCGCACACCGCAGCAATAACTCCGGGTTCTCCGCACTGCCGCAGTCGTCGCACAAGTCGGCATCGTCCTCAGAATCCGAAGCGAGACTCCCGGCGCCACTGCCCCTCTGCACACGCGACCCCGCCGAGTACATATAAAGGCCTTGATGCTGATCAACACGTGACGTCAGAGCGTCGCACGTGTAGCAGACGTCACGCTAATCTCGTTTGATACATGACTACCGCCACCGTATTGGTCACTGCACTGGCAATTTGAAGTGAGGGACTGCGATGGCACATGTGACTGATCAAGGTTGTGGCAAAAAACAGATTGTCGCAGGTCCAATGGTTGCGCCAATCATGATCATTCATCATCTATAGTCCAGTCAGGTGCCATGGGATGATCCTCAGAGAGTCTACCATGAGCCTCACAGAATCACGCTGTATGCATTCGTGCAGAGTTCTGCTTGACATGACTGGCTGCGCGGCAAAGCCAGCTGGATGAGTCGGTTTTGGCGGATGTCCATGGCATGATGATGATCTGTGCACTGCTTCAGTGAGGCAGATCGACAAAGCTCCGACTCAAGAGGGTACGGTCTCAATTCTGCTGCGACGTTCGATGCCAGGACAGGAACTGGTGCACAGTCTGAACGTTAGACAAGGTTGCCGGCCGGGCATATAAGGTTACCGCCCGGCATATTGTCATATGGGCTCGCCCAATCAATGCCTTACCGAGCCCCATTCCATCATTGGCCCCGTTTGCGGTCTCCCGAAGCATCTTCCCCCAGTCCTGGAAAAGCGTCAAGTTCCCAACACCAATTCCAAGTCGACACGATGCATGATGGCATATGATCTGCGACGCCCGGCTGCGCCGGATGAGACTCGCAGGCCCGATGACTACATCCGATCTGCAACTTAACGCTACAATCTCTCCACCTGGCCGGCTGGATCACGGTCAAGACCCGTCCCTAGCGCCTCCCAAACCACGACCTCGTGTCCATACGTCAGGCCGATTTCCATATCTGTTGCCCACCATTCCCTTCTCCATTTTGGATCTGGCGTCCGCTTCAGACTCTGAGGGCGCCCAAAGGACCAAGGTTCGGGCGGGCCGCTGGGCGGTTTGGGTTCTGGGATTCTGGCCGCCGCGGCCAGCCGATATCGTGCTGTCAACCACGATCTAGTAAGGCAGGACTCGCATCCGTTGAGGGATTTAGAACTCGCATGCCCTGGTTCAGTTGTACTGGTTATCAAGCCGGAAGTAATTCGGTTGAACCGCTTTCAGGCCGGTCCGCTCCGGCGACCGGCCGCCTTGCTGCACCGGCTTTGTGGTCGCCGCTGACGAGCACGCAGGGGTTTGGCCTGGCGCAGGGCCCTTGCCAACAGTTCGCTCAATCTGGCCGCGGGCCGAGCCTTGACGTAGAGCGCTGGCAGCGTCAATATAAGTCGACCGAGATGAAGGGCGACGCTTCAGATTCATGGCCGGACACGACTTGTTGAATAGGCGGGGCCTCTGGCACCGCTCTCGCTTTCAACTCGCTTCTGCAGAATGCGCAAAGATCGTGCGAGCTGTTGTAACTCATGTAGGACCGAATGGATGACTTGCTTTTCTGCATGGAAATTTATCAGACAGCATTGTTTTCTCAACAGTGTTTTATTGAGGTACTTGCACCAGCGACGGCCAGGCTTTTGAATTGGAGATGATCGTGAGACGGATATAGTATTCCTACAACTACGAAAGCGAAAGTTAAAATTTCAGAGGCGGACAACGCGATGCGAGGTGACGAGGTTTTCAATCAATTCGCCAGATATTTTTCAGAGCCAGACTAAGTGGAATTACCCACTCGATGACCCAAGCGTGCACAACGCACTAAAGTTCGATGGTGCATATGCAAGGACGGTTGCAAAGATAACGATCGCGACTGCGTGTAATCCGGCGTTCGCAGAAAGCTCTTGATGGTGGGCACTTAATGCAGAATCCATGTCTCGCCGTCAGCATGCTCGCGAATTAAATCTGAAAGCTAGCAAACTTTTGCCAATTTGCAATGCAGAATGCCATTGCGTATATATCGGATATATGCGATTTGAATATGAACTCCGGCCGCTCTCAGCAGGACAGCAGCGTCCGATCTGGACGTTTTCACATGGAAGTATAATCTCCAGAATTTCCAAGAGTTTGTAGCAAAACGCAAAGTCGCAAAGTCGGATCGGGCGTGATCGGACCTAGCGTCACCCTGCCGTCGTCCAGTCACTGGAGAATCCAATAATAAGGAATCTCAGCTTGAGAATATTGCCCGAAAATCGAATTGGCAGCGCCGTGGATTTGACGCTTGTCTGCAGCCAAGTCAAAAGCCAGTGCGAGACATGCGCCAATGTACCGACAAATGACGCTCTCAATTGTGAAATTCCCCTATACGCAAGCTTGACGGCCTCAGGCCTCGAACCTGCTCACTACCACACCTTACACCATCGAGTCCGTCTTGTGCTTCGTACAGAAGCTCTTGGCCTCATCCTGATGTCCAAAGCGGGCCCGCCGAGCGCAGCCTTCATTTTCGCAAAGCTTGTATATATTCACCATGCCAGCCTCTGCGTGCGCTTTGCACCGCGTCACTTTGCGGCCCCGGCCTTCGGTGAAGCTTGCTACCAGGCGGCATCCGCTGATCTGACACAGCCTGTTAATGCTCTCGACATGCCGGCCTCTCGGTGTCGCGCGCACCTGCTCCTTGTCTTCTTTCCTGGAAAGTCGTAATCCGCACAGGTTGTGCAACCTTGTACCTCACAGATATCATGTTTTTGCATCTCCATGCCTGGTAGCTTATGTGCGTTGCACACTTCTGGCACGAGCCGCCTCCTCTCTTTCCTGAAAGCATAACGGGCATGCCCGGAGCACCTCTGCTGGGAGCACGGCAGGGGTCCGCGAATGACGAAGCTAGACCCCAGGGTTACGTGCCTTCCTGCCTCCCCTTCCCCTGACTGAGCTTGTTGGCCTTGAGCCACTTTTGCACGTACCGCAGAATCCGTCCGACCCCCGGCGCCTGTCGGACTGCTGGATTCTTTCTTGACCCGCTTTTCCTGCTGTCCCCTTCGGCCCTTCCTGCTCTGCATCTCGGTTGCTATCCCCTTTTCCAAGAACGAAACTCTTTGCTGCCCCGGGCCCCTCCAGAACCTCTGCCACCGCGCCTCAAAATATGCACCCCACCCATCGTACAAAGACAGCTGGCATGCATTCTGTACTACCCTCCCTGATCCTAGTTTTTCGGTCGCTGCTGCTTTTGCGCCCGTCCTTTCTGGCTGACCTGCGCCCCCCATTTGCGTCTCTCCTCTCTGATCGGCAGTCCCATCACAGGCTACCGGCCTCTTTCTCCCGGTCTTCTGCTTTGAGACCCCGCTTTGCTGGCCGCCTTCCTCTGACCGCTGAGGAAACTCTCCATCGGCCTCTGCCTTTGCGCTCTTGGTCCCGCTCGCTTTCCCTTCCACTCTCTCTTCCTCTACATCGTTTTCCTCGTTGCGGTGACCTCTTTTCTTTCGCTTCTGGTTCGGACTCCCCTCCGCCCAATTCTCACCAAACTCTTGCTTTGCATCCTGCCTTTTCCCCGCATCCTCCCCACCCCTCTCCTTCCTCTTCTTCCGCTTGGCATGGACTGGAGCCATGCCTTCCGAACTCTTGCCTTCCGCAGCACTCTGGAATGCTGACTGGCCTTCGTCGACTTTTTGGCTGCCTTGAACCCCGTCGCGACTCTGATGTGCATCGGCCTTGAGGGTCTTCGGGGCTTGGAGGTCAGAAACTTCCTGGCTTTGGTGCTGCTGCTTCTTTCCCTTCTTGCGCTTCCGAGGAGCCTCGTAGACTTCTGCATATGAACATAGAGCCAGGATCGAGGACAGAGCAGAGGAAATCTTAAGGTTGATCTCACCCAAGAAATCTTGAATTAAGTAATGTGCACTCAATAGACCCAAGCTGCATTAGGCAATGCCCTAGGTGATTGGGTTTGTTGGAACCCCAGTTATGCTACTACTAAGATACTAGGGGAGCTTTGCGCGATGCTGCTAAGGTGGCAAGCAAAGAATTCTAGAGAGGTCGTCGAGAAGCTGTCTGAAAGAGAAAAAGAATGCTAGTACCAACTCTTAAGTATGCAAAAGGAAGATGGACCGTCCGGTAAAGTCTGAGGGGCGGAGTCAACCAAAGGTGGTTCAACACAGTGACCACATTTTGCAATTGAGACTTGCTTACCTTCTGGGTTCATGCTATCATCATTCTGCCTCTTCCTCTTCTTCCTTTTCTCCATGTTTGTGCCAAATGATGCCGCCGTTTACAACTCTTCTACTGCAGAGATCAAGCAGAGAGTAAGCGCAAATGTGCTTTCTCCCCATGCAATCCCCATCCCAACTTTCGGCGAAGTTAGTGAAAACTATTGAGAAAGTTCCCGTGAGTCCTATTTAACAGCATGCACGGCTGCGGTCTTCAAACCAACAAGATGCAGGTCACTAAAGTTGAAACTCAGCGTCCGCGTTGAAACCACTCTGAAGCGCTTCAGCAACTTGCTTCTTAGATTGGAAAACCCAAAATTCGCATTTTGCATTTGAAGAGCAGTCTGCTGCCCGTACTCATGGAATGATGGTGGCAGTCATTGCACTATCTTTGTGTATTGTCTGCCACCCCAACCTGACAGGTTTCAAAGTTCATATGGAATTCCGTCTCAAAACCTGCGCCAGAGTTGCCTCAAACAAGAAAGACTTGCATAGTTGAACTGACTGCAGCGCAGCTTTTTTCCAAATTAAGAACAGCAAGTGGCGAGTTACATGTTTGCTGATCCATCTGGCACACAGACGTGCCCAGCAAGCGACAAGTGTGCCTGGTGCCTGGACGTACGCCATTTGCATTGCTGGCTCACAAAACCGCCTCCTGAACTGATATGAAGTCAACATCCAGCAAGATGATGGCTTCTGCAGACTTGCACCGTAGCGGCAGCACTTAAGAGCACCGTAGTCCAACGTGATGATTCCGAAGTTCCGAAGTGTTTCCCCTGAACTTTTTAGATTGACGGCCGGAGGGCCACCCGGGTCTTTCAGTTGGTGGCCCAACGGGCCACCCGACCATGACCATTGGTGGCCCAACTCCACCGCAAATTTAGGATTTTCGACCGCTAGCTTGAACGATCAGACTTGAAATTTTGAGAAGATAACAGAGCGCATATGCCATGTCTGTCGTAGTGCTATACTTCACTTGTTCTGGACCCCGGGCTGAAGTTTGGTGGTGTTACAGAAGGAAAACAGCCCGGCTCGAACGGGTTTTCCTTCAAGTATAGTGTATCATATGCTCTTTTGACAGTAATTTTTAAAAATGTTGTGAAGATTTCCAGCGTATACGCCTTAAAAGTTCTAAGATAGGCCAGTTCGGTGCATTGATTGATGGCCCACCGGGCCACCTTGGCCCTCCGTATGGTGGCCCGTTGGGCCACCTCCACCCCCCCATTGGTGGCCCGTTTGGACCATTGATGGTCATTTTAGCAGGGAGTGGGCCACCGGGGGAAACACTTCGGAAGAATCCGAACGGATTTTCCCAGAAATATTTTCCAACAATCCGACCATTATTTATTCGGAATCATTACCTTGGACTACGGTAGTAGATTCCATGCAGCAGCAATTAGGAATCGAAGTTTTCTGAAGGTAAATCTCAATACTGTGCCATGGTCATACCGTACGACCAAGGTATGATTCCGAATGCTCAAAAAAAGCAATTATTTTAGCGAATGCGAGCCCAAATCATGTATTATTTTCCCTTTTCCTACCCTAAATCCGAATCGCCTACAGGTACCCCGGTACCCATGTTTTTGAGGCTTTTAACGGTAACCGGTACGTACCTTTTTGTCATAGGGCCTTTGCAATCACTTTTCGAATGGGATTTAACAATTATTTTCAGTTTACGAAAAAGCAGAATCCGACTGCTTATCCGGAGTTTCCAACTTTCCGAATGCAAATAATTATTTATTTATTCGGAATCATACCTTGGTCGTACGGGTATGGTTGCTTGTACGTGGGCAATATGGGTCCAATCTTGATTGAGGGCTGGAACTCCGGAAGTTGAGCCCGGAGGTAAGTCTGTGCTCGCATTTGACCTTGATTTTAAGGCCTTATAGTCCAATCCGATAAGAATATACTTCCCTTCTGGTTAGGGGGCTCTTACAGACCCATCCCGGCGATCTGATTGGTCGAGTGACGTAAGCTTAACGCCGTCGCCGAGGTTTCCGACTCCGCGTAAACATTGCAGCTGAGGTGGTGTTAG